ATCAGCACAGCCACCTTTCCCTATTCTATTTTCTCCTCCAGCAGGAGTCCGGTGTCATGGGAGGAGTTTGCGCTGGGACCCACAAAACTTTTGCGTGTGCGCGTGTTTCGACGCCACGCCTCTGTGCGTTTTCCTCCGCGCGTTGATTTCATACCAAACTCATACTTGGCATTCCGCCTTTTTTTCTGTCAAACACGGTTATTTTTATCAAGGAAATACAGGCGATACACAAAGCAAAAGTGCTTTTTAAACTCGAGTATACGGACAGGAGTGTGTGCCTGTAACAGCGGGGCAGGAGAGCCTTTGTGAGGTGAGTGCGCTCTCAGATACTTCTTTGTTGTGTGCTGCAACTTTCATGCAGCTGCTTCGCTTCGTGTGTGCCTGAAGTTTTGGGATATTTTACATATTTCGCATTTTCCCGCTGCCGCTTTGCTGAATCAGAGGCTTTTTCGTAATTAGCGGGGAGTTCCTTTTTTATCCACTTAGCCTCGAGTTGTAGTAAAACAGTGACTTTTTTTCGGCGTCTCTCGGACTTAGTTTGGAGTTTGTTGAGGTATTATTAGCCCGCAAGCTAACTAACTAGCATGCCAGATCGAGTGCGTTATCAGTGTTTAGTCTGTGATATACACCGAGATTATGGAAATCACACCTGTTATACACTTTAAAGCGTGTGTACGGTGTTTTACCCAAATGCTAGGCTGAGTTACATGTAACTTATTTCACACTTTGGATCAAAGGCAAATCGTGCTAACTCACAGTTGGCTAAACGGCTTTCAGCCACTGAGTGTGATTTCGTTTTTCCCTCTGCGAGCAGATTTACTTCATTGTGAAAGTGTCACCAACATGTAATACTGGTCTTACGGGTTTACACAAGTCGAGTGAGAAAAGACACCTTTGTTAGTTTGGGTACAGTCAAAGTAGTAATAGTCAGCTGAGGTGGCCACGTAAATCTGAACGCACTGTGATGAGATCTAGCTCGGTTAATCATAATGTCAGTGCTCCCATTGGAACAGAAGGCATCCTGCAATGTGCATGTGTCTTCTCAGTGTTTGCTGAGCTCATAGCTTTATTTAGCTCAATGCTCAACTGACTCCTCACTGCACTAAACATCTGACCTTTTGGTCATTGGTGCTAACTTTATAAAGAAACTGGCAGGGCCGAATATAGTGCATAAATGTATTTACTTTGCATCACTACCACTCTGATAAATGAAAAGTCTGTGGCTGTTGGTGACTCAGTTTACTGTTATTTTTCAATTATTATAGACATTGATCACCAGTGACCTTACACTCTTGACCCTGCAGCAGCTGTCCACTTAATACAATACACTATTTCATAGATATCTCATTGATCAATCTAATACAACAGATATGCCTGACATTGTATGTAAGAGATGATCATTTCCAGTTTTGTATTGCTGATCTAGAAGTTAGTAAAGTTTTACTGGACTAAAATACTATATGTACTTAAAAAAACGACTGACACATTTTTGTTGTTACTAGCTTTAACACCTCATTTTTGGGTTTACCTTTTTGCTCTGACATAATTAAAACCCCATATGCAGATAAGGTCAAAGGTTTTAACTCTTCCTATGACCGAAATTATTCAAACTGAGCTATCATTTTTATTTTTTATGTCCTTTTTGTTTTCTGTTGTTTTTATGTGTAACCAATGTACCGCAGGTCTCCCTTGAAAAAGAGATCGTTGATCTCAATGGGATTTTTCACCTGGTTAAATAAAGGCTACAAACAATTTGCGTGACAAAATACAAGAATTACCACACATCATTGTTATAACAACAAATAGAAGTGTATTTTAATGTTGCATGAACAAATCAATGATACCGTTTTTAAAAATAAGAGCCATTCACAAACAAACCTTTAGAGGCCTGAACAGGTGAAAGTATAAAACATTTTAAAGGGGAAAAAAACATTTCCCAACTTGGGATCAATAAAGTACATCTTATCTTATTAACCTCTTTTGTATAGTGAGGGCCAATTGTAACCCACGCATTTGTCACTAATGTAATGTAAAACTCTTAAGAAGCCAGTCTAATATAATTTAGAAGATGTTTTTCTAGCTGTTAAAGGGCCCAAAAGGCACAGTAAACCTTCCTCGTCACCCTCGATAATCACAATGTTGTTTCAGGCATTGCTCTTTCCTTACCATCTCACCAGGGCCTGTCTGATCGTTATGGCAACAGCACAGTCCCGTCAGCAGTGATTGAAACTGGGAAGGCCCTGTGCCCTAATGCGTCCAATAAGCCCACCACAGCAGGGGAAGCTCTTGCGACCACATCGATACTCTGTGGTTCTTTTGTGGCAGGGACCATGTTAGCCACGCTCTGGAAAACATTACACACTAGGCAGCATTCATGTTGTATATGTGTACGTGTATTTGAGGAGACTTGGAGCATCCTCAACAATAACAAAAGAATGTGTAATTTCCTCATGTGGCCTAAAGTTGCAGGCTTCTGGGAAGTTCAAATGGCTTATGTTCTGCCTTTCAAAGTAGTTTCTTTAGGACGGTTAGCTTAAGGACAATGACTATCTGGTCTGTCCATCACCAACTTGTGTAACCCTAATAGCTTGGCCAACTGGTAGTGCCTTCATTGACCTTGGCCAGTGTCTTTGTACATTTACAGGCTCTTAATGTTTTGCCATTTTGCTTGCCGGGTCTTTAACCTCGAATGCCAGGGCTATTAATACACCTTGTGCCCATGGAGGCTGTAAACAACCTCAGATGAATCTGATCTCACTCCTGGTGAAGTGTGGAGACATTTGTAGTCCAAGATATCTGTCGCCATTCTCGGCAGCCATAAAGTTAATCCTGGCTCTGTCAATCCATCACATTGTGTTTGGGGTTATGTGGCAATTGCAGGACAGCTTTAGAAGTAAGCTCAAAATAATGCCCATGAAATATACAAATAAAAGTTAAGTTTGATTAACTATACATTTAATTTAGATTGTACATTGTGCATACTAGGGTTGCAAGTAGGGATAATCATGATTTCAATTATCTTATTTAGTTGTTTTGTCTATAAAATGCCTGAAAATAATAATAAAAAAACTGCCCGTTACAATTCGAAAGATGAAAAAAGCAGATAATCTTCTCATTTGAGAAACTAAAAACAGAACTTTTGGTTAAGGTCCTTTGGCTAATGGATACATTGACTAATTGACAAATCGTTTGAGCTCTAATTATTCTCTTGTGTTGTTAGGTAGCACATTCAGTAATCTAAGAAATTGGCTCTGATTGTCCAGGCTCTGATACCTAGCATAGATATTGTGCTTGTAGTTAGGGATGCTCCGATCGCCATTTTGGGGCCGATCGCCGGAATCAGTATCGGCCGATACCGATCCGATCGAGTGGGGATCTTCCATTTAAAGTGATGTTTACACTCAGTTAATGGGGCTCATTCACTGGCGCTTCCACAAACAACAACCAACATAATTATTACATTCAAATGAAGTACATTATTCAAGTTTACATTAACTTTGGATAATAACACGGGAGAAATGAGAGGAAGCGCTCTCTTTTCCTCTCTCCCTCTCTCCCTCCCCTGACAGCCCGTCAGTATCGTCTCATGCAGCTCGCTGATCCAGTAATGAGCGACCCGACAGTGAAGAATAAATATATGTTTAACTAGTTTAGCTTGTTCCAGAGGTAGATACAATAGCTAAGTGTGTTAGGTCTAACTCTTAGTGTGTGTTTTGCTCCGCTCACCGGTCCGTCACAGCGGGTGGAGCTGCAGGATTTCTGCTTCACACACGTTGCATACCGCTATTTTATTGTCATTTTCGGACACCTTAAAATACTGCCAGACTGGTGAAGCCATTTTGGCGAGCTTGTTTTGCCGCGCACAGAGAAAAGTGTCATGTATTTTACGTCATGCGATCGGCTCTCGCAATCGGCATTTTTAGAGAGCACCGATCGATCAGCAGAGAGTGAGTATCGGCCGATATCGATCTGCGGCCGATCGATCGGAGCATCCCTACTTGTAGTTTTACATCTAACAATATTTTAATAATTTTACCACATGAAAAGTGGTCCACTTCTCACTCCAAAACAACATATTTTTCCCAAGGAGTAATTCAATTTCGGAGCAACTGGATATTTATGTTTGTTTGCCTAACAAGCCCTTTCTATTTTAAATAATGTGATTGTTAAGACACACAATAGATTTCAAGCTATTGTTGTGGGCAGCGGTGTGTGTGCTGGTTACTTTCAGTTCTTTGGTGGGTTGAAGATACAGAAAGATTATTTAGTTTATTTTTACTTGTACACTTGTAGACTATGCACTTTAGGGTTTGTCTACATTACATTAATCGATGATTTAAAGCGGCACTGTGTTTTCAAAACACCCAGCATACGGCTGCATTCATTTCTTTATACCTTGCTGATTGCCATGCCTTTTTGTCTAAATACATCAGCTATCAAAACAAATATGGCTCTCTGCTCTCACATTGTGGTATTATGGTGTAATGCTTTTTTAATGTGGAAGAAAACACGTCTTGAAAACTGGATTCAGTACAAGAGCAGCAATAGTTAACCATGATAGTGTGAGGCTACATTTAACAAACTATGCAGCCTGACAGGGTAATGTAAGAACAAAATAACAGTGTAACTCAAATTCTTCATATTTATAATACTAGGACTAGCTGACAGCTTTAGCCTCAGACTTTTAGCAATACATCATGTATGAAGCTCTCTGTCACGTACATGTTTAAGACCTTTTTTACACGGTGCTTGTTTTTAAAATAGTCCAAATAAAATGTTAAAATGTGGAGCTGCCAGCCACCATTGTCATTTCAAGCTTCAAATCAACATTTGCTGGCTAAATGAGAAGTTTTCCATTGTCTACCTTTATGTACAAAGAGAAATAGTTTTTAAAAAAGTACTATTTGGGATAATGAGTGATACAGTTTGCCTATATTCTTGTTAACTGTAGGCGTAGTAGTAGAACTTATCAGAAATGTCCTGTCCTGTTGTCCTAGGTGTGTTGTGGCCACGAGCCGTCATCATTGCGTCGGAGTGGAGTTGCCGTGGCAGCCCTGACGGGGCTCAGGAGGATGGTGCAGATGGAGAGGTGGCAGACGGGCCGGACCGGGGATTGGACGGTGACCCCGAGGGAGTCTGGAGTCCAGACATCGAGCAGAGCTTCCATGAAGCCCTGGCCATCTACCCTCCCTGCGGCAGGAGGAAGATCATACTTTCAGACGAGGGGAAGATGTATGGTAAGGACCCGAAAACGTCTGTCTTAACATGACTGTTTGTGATTCTTTTAATGGTGTCAACTCAGTTTAAAATGACCAAATATATTGTAGTCGTATCATATACTATAGCCTCTTACGAATGACAGTTTTGTTTACACTTATGTCCAGCAACTTTGGGAGTAGGGCTGCAAAACGATAAATGATTCAAATAAATGTGTCTACTAGGGCTGCACGATTTGGGGAAATAATCTAATTGCGATTTTTCTGACAGATATTGCGATTGCGATTTGAGTTGCGATATTTGTTTTTATTATGGTCCTTGGTCTTGGAATGACCTTCAATCAAGCCTAAAACTGAGGGCACTTGTCTCAATAGCATGTTTTCAATTGAAGTTGTCTGAAGTCTTCACCACCAGCTGCTCTTGCAGTAATAATTAGTGTACCTTTCTTACTGTCCAAATGTGCACAATGTAGTGACTGCTTTTCGTCTTTTGTTTTCTTAGTTATGTTCTCTGTATTTTATATGTATGTGTTATGTGTAACGTTGCTGCCTTCTTGGCCAGGTCAGCATTTTAAATGAGATTTTATCTCAATGCTTTTTTATCTGGTTAAATAAATAAAAAAGCGACCCAATGGAAGTTTATTGTAAAATACGGTTCTGTTTGCAGCGGGGTAAAAAGGCTTTAAAAAGGCTCCCGTGTATGAATCTCACCATAAGCGATTTTTAATTCATGTCTATGGTGCTATTTTATGCAACATTGCATGCTGGCTAAATATACTGTCTATGCCTGCTGTCCATTCAAACGAAGTACACTGGATATAAACTCCCCAAACAGGCGAAAACCTACCAGTTTCACCCACTGTCTCTGCCACCTCCCTCCATGCCTGGCTCCTCCGGTTTGTATCCCGGTAGGTGAACAGGGACTGAAAGCACCGGGTGATTCCCTACCGCTACGATTATTTTCTCCTCCATTTTTTGGCATACGAGGAAATGAACTGCGGTCTGGCTGTCTCAGCATACACGCGGTTTGATTGGCTAGCGCTTGTACTGGCAGATTTGCATACGCGGGATTTGATTGGCTGACGCCTCGGCTTCAAAAGTAGAACATTGCTCTACTTTTGCAGCGAGCACCGCGAGAAAAGCTATGCTTTGCTCCCACAATGCAGTTCGGCGGATCGTGACGTCACCCCATTCAAAGTGAATGGGCAGAAGCGTTGAAGCGTCAACGCACGCCGCCGTGTGTAGGGGCCGTGAAAGAACTAAACTTACATGAAACTTCCATTGGGTTGCTTTAAAGTCAAGCTTCAGTTTAAGATCCACCCTGTAATAGATGTAGAACATGTGATGGAGCATTACTAACCTGACTCAGGTGGTTTGTTTCACCAAACTATCTAGGAAAGCTCCATTGGAAGCCATTTGGAAAAGTATTTCAAAAATACTTGGCAGGTGATTGGATCAATCTGTCTATCACCTACTTTCATGGGCCACTTCTGATTGGTTAACAAGCACTGGTACATGTGGAGCACAGCACTTCTGATTGGTGTGGATGACTGACACACAAGAACAACAAAAAAAACTACAAAAAATCGCAGGCTGTGCGATTTGATAATTGCATCATTTAAAATCGCGATTTCGATTTAAAATCGATTAATCGTTCAGCCCTAGTGTCTACGCTGGAGGCATTATGTTTTCGTCTGTCCATCACATTCTCATGAACGCAATATCTCAGGAACGCCTTAAGGGAATAGTTTTTATATCTGGCACAATCGTCCACTTGGACTCAATGATGACCTGACTAGAATCTGGTGGTCAGAGTTCACTATGACTTCACAAAACGCATTTTGGCTATAACTCAATTATTCGTGACACCATTTCTGGAGAATAATATCCAAAATGTCAGAAATCAACTTCACTGTGATTTTATAATGTTCTGCAAAAACACTTTCCTGGCAATTATTTAATGGCATAACTCAGGAACAGAAGGCTGATTGTGGTCGGACACTGAAATGTTGACAGTAATCTTTTGAGCCCACCATGAAACTGTGGTGATTGATGGATAGATAGATCTTCGGTCCTGCTGGGCATCCATTTCAATGAACTTATACACATATAGTAATAGAAAAACCACAAAGTCTAACAGTCAAGAACATGTGTTTAATCTATACATCCCAATATGATACATTTCAAAAGAAAATCCTTAAGTAGCTCACAATTTGTTCAGCAAATGAATTAAAGGGAAAATAGCCCATAAAACAATCTTTTGATTCAGAATTTATAATGTTTATGTCTTACTGAAGTGAGTGTCTACAAGCTGTACAGCGACACAAAGATAAGTTTCAAGTATAATGGCTCATGTTTTCCAACTGCATACACTTTATTGGTCTTTTCTTTTACTGAATATTATAAAACTGAAACTTTGTTCTTGAAAAGGTTCCTAGCAAAGGTAGTGATCCACTCCAGAGATGGTTCTGTAGAAACCTCTCAGTTTGTGCCCAGGTGATCTGCCTGGAGGTATTTTGGGACAGGGGCTATTTAACTTCGAGGTAAAAAAAACAGCCCGCGCTAACAGGGTCCAAGACTAGAGCAGGTTGACATTTCAGGTCAGGGTAGGGTTAGCATATGAACCAGTAAAACACACATTCCTGGACATTCATTTCTTAAAGACTATTTTTTTAGGATCTGCTCAGTACACTGCCAGTGAGTGGAGCTTTGATGTATTTTGACCGTTTCTTCCTACCTTATTGAAGTCCTTGGCTGCCACCCAACATTCCTAACATTCCTCTCTCTTTTTTTTTGGCTGAGGGATGGCATTCCGGCCTGCAGCAGCCTGTGTCATGCGTTTGTGTATGTGGGAGTGTGTGTTGTGGGGGAAACTAAATATGTGCTCCCATGCGACAGAAAGAGAGAGTTTGTTTCAACGTTGCAGCCTTCTCTCCTTTTGTGGAAGTGTGGGCTCGCTGTGTGGACCACCCCCACTTCCTTCTGTATAAACAAGGATAGTCCCACTGGTTACACAAATTCACACGTTGGAAAGCGCCACTGACACTGAAAAGAATCCCCACGCTCTTTTTCCAACTTTAGAGTCACTGCCTATTAATACAATCCTTTAAAACCTTTGAATACACATTTTAGTTTTCAAATGTTGCGTTTTATTTGTCAAATTGTATACCTTTTTTTTTATAAAAAAAATGTTTTGTAATTATTATGATTATTTTACAGTTTACCAAATAAAGATTTTTGAAAAACAAGGTAAAGAAAGAAGACAACCTTGCTTTACAATAATAATTAGTGATTCTATCAGAATTTCAGTCTGTGCTTTCCATCCATATCATACATTTCACATATTACATTTCCTTAAATTATCCTTCAATACACCACAGGAGTACAAACCAAAGAAATGTTTGAAACCTTGAATACTATAGATGTACTTTTACTTGACATTGTACAATTTTGACTCGGAAAATATGACTTTTAAGCTAATATACCAATTACCAATATGTAAAATCCCAGACTTTACCTCTAAACCAAACTATTTGTTTTACCCCAATGCATGCTAATAAGTTCCCCCTACGGCTAAACTATGCCCGTCATATTTGAGCTCCAGTCTTTGTGCCCTCAGTCATATGTAACTACTATGAGGTCACCAATAACTATGCAGTCAAGCATGTAACACCATTATTATGGGTGTACTGAAAACAAATAAAAGCCATTCAGATTTTTTTATTTATTCCTTTAGCTAAAATATGTTTCGTCATGACTTTGTGTAGTTTTTTCAAAACATGTCTCTCAAAAGAAATTCCTAAATGGCTTTCCTCCTTAAGTTTATGATTGGTGTGGGTCAATTTTGTTGAGGCGGGTTTCCATTTAGAGATGGGAATAACTCAGTTTAGGTCAGAGACAGTCTCCTGCAGATTGTCAAATACATATTTGGCAGGGCCTCTTCACACTCTGCTGAGAGATGGTCATACTGCATGGTCCAGAGTGAAATATGCAGCTAGATATTTGCAAGACACCTTGCAGATCTTGTCATTTGTCCAGTCATTTACTTCTAATTTAATTGTGTAACCGCATTGAACTAATGACCAAATAAACATAAAGCATAGCTATAAACCAAATTAGTTGAAGAAAGCTTGGTCATTGTTGCAGATGAAGGAAATCCAAGGAGTAAATCAAAGTCAACTTTAATGGCAATCTTTCAGTTTGTGTGTACAGACAGAGAGATCGAAATGACGTTTCCAACAATCCCGAACACAAAAATATTATACAATATACAGATATGTATAAAAGATGCATATTCTATATACACAATCAACAGACACATTTACACATATGCACACATTAAAGGTAGGGTAGGTAAGTTTGAGAAACCGGCTTGAGATACACTTTTTGTTATATTCCATGGAATGCTCTTAACATCCTGATAGCAATGAATATCTTAAGTGCTTTGACAAAAAATCCATAAAAAAATGTCATCTGTGGAAGCCGTAATACTTTAAAAAGCACGACCAATCATTTTAGCCGGCCCGGCTAAAATAACTGGATGGCCTACCTGCCTGTCAGCCTTCCATCTGTGCACAAACTTATCTCGTGCCCTCATTGGTCATGTGCGCGTTCGTGTGTGTTGGAGGAGGGGCTCTGTAAGGAAGTGGCAGATTTTCTCCGGTTGTGTATTTTCAAATTCTAGCGATCTCGAGCCGGTTTCTCAAACTTACCTACCCCACCTTTAAGATAAAAAACACAACAATCAATATATACAAAATAACAGTCACTTCAATATCAAAATCTTTGGGAATGTACATTAGTGCAAGATTGTAACAAAAATAACACATTATAATAAATAACACGCATTATAATAAGTGGCTCATGTGTTTACTGCTGGTGAAAAGGGTCAGTCCTTATGAGGAGTAGCAGTAGGCTGCAGGAAGCTGCATGTGTCCTGTTTTGGGAATTGGAGCAGACTCCTCAGTCTGAGTCAGACCCCTCTGCTGATTTTGGGGAATTCTGTGTTCTGGTAACTCCACAGAGCTGACTCAGCCTGATGTGACCTAAGTTATACCATCGCATCACTTCCCAGAAAGAAGGATTGTGATGTGCATGATGTGAGAATAAATGATTAAAGCTATAGAATCAGTATGTAAGGGCTAATTTCCTCACCATTATCTTTGGCTTCTCTCTCAATCTGCATTTGCAGCTGTGTAGAAAGTGAGTTGCTTACGGTCAGATAAGACTCACCAGGTGGGGGATGGTAGCTGTGGGAGGCAGAGAAATAAAGGGCCGACCATGCAGTCTTTAGTGACCCCATGTGAGAAGTCTTACAACTACACGGTGAACTCTCGTCTCTTTTTCCTTTCTTTTCCAACATTGCCTGCCATCCAGCTTGCCCAATTTCCCTCTAAATGATCACCCGTTGTATATCATATACCCACTGTGTGTGTGTTTGGGTAGGGAAATTGATATAGCCTTACCATCTTCTCAAACTTTAAGTGCAGTCACATTCAACTTTCATATTCTGCTGGCTTCATTTCAAATGGGATGGAAAAAGATTCCAAGTCTCTCGATCTTCTTTTGCTTCAAAGATTGTTCTGGAATTTTAAGAACAGCCTAAACCAGTTCCACCAGTTTGACAACGTGTGACTCCGAGGCTGAACATGACGCTCTCATAGCTTGAATGTATTTAAGAAGATTCATGTTTTAAAATACAACCCTAATAAAAGCCTTAAACTTGATAACAAGAGCTTCGACCAACACCAAGCATTCATTTATCTTTGGTTGAAAGTTGTGGCAAATTTTTAAGAAGATGTTCTTTTCTTGGCCAAATAGTTACGGTTAAATGACATTTAAGGTCATTTCACCAGAACACCTTTTAGATTTATGAAACTAATGACGCCAAGATCATCACTAATAATTATAGGCCATTACATTGACAGGTTATTCCATACTTATCAAAAGCTCTAAATGGCTCCAACACTGAAAATTGAGAGGCTGTCTTTACTTTTATATACATTTTTAGGAAAGGATCACTATTATGAACCCCCTGATCAAAAATATATATGATGACTATATTGACTGAAGTAAAGCAAATGTGTTAAAATAGGTAATGACGGCGTATTTTGATCAGAACATATTGTATCGTGCGTGACTAAGGTTTAATGATAGACATTTTTGATTTCAACTATTCCTTTTTCAATTTTAGGTCGAAATGAGCTGATTGCTCGCTATATCAAGCTACGAACAGGGAAGACGCGCACACGCAAACAGGTATGTACAGGCAGTAGTGAAGAAGATAGTACATGTGTTTTATGATAAACTGTTGTAATTTACTCATTCACTTTGATACAATTATTATTAAAGGACCCGTGGCTTTTTTAAATGGCTAAATACTGTTATATTTTTTATTATTATTTTTTATTATTTTAAATATCTTTCTAGTTCTCTACCTGTGTTTTTAATTCTTGTTTTTATGCACCACGACACCAAGTCAAATTCCTCGTACGTGTAAACCTACCTGCTAATAAACCTGATTCTGATTCTCATTCTAAATCAACCCTTAAATGTGTGCTTTTTCATGGGGGTCCCCCTGGCTTCATAGGTGTCTAGTCACATTCAGGTTCTGGCGCGTAAGAGGGTACGAGAATACCAGACCAGCATCAAGGTGGGTGCCCACTGAATCAACTCTCCCTTCCCTCTGTAGTCACATCCCCTCTTCTTTTCCTTTCCTTTTTCCTCCCATCCTCTGTCCTTCGTCCTGTCTTTCGTCAGGTCTCTAGTCACCTGCAAGTCTTGGCCAAGAGAAAGTCTCGTGAGATTCAGTCTAACCTCAAGGTACACACGTTAGCTGCTTCGCTCTGCATGTGGCCTAAATCTAACATTAAATAAAATCAAAAAATACGTCTTTGTCGGAGCTTAGGACGTATTACGAGAAGGCATATTTAAAATAATAAAGCATGACATATCTATTTAGTGTTACCGTGATGCTTGGATTTCTATACAGGCATCTAAGGCTGTTGCACTAAATCATGAGGATGGAGATGAGTACATCCAGTTTACAAATAGTTAGTTGCATGATTTGTAATACCATCATTTTTGTTATTAGCAGTGGGAACAGGACGCGGCATGCTCAGGCTTTGCAAACTCGTATTATTTTCAAACATTGCTTTCCGTCTGTATTTGAAGTCGTGAGCGTTGCTCAGTATAAGAGTCAGATTTGTTGTATTTTATCATAGTATGTTGGAAATAGTTTTATAAATGCATGGCAGTAATGTTGTTTAATAAGTGGCTTTGGAAAGTGTATTACATTAGATACAGTAGTCGGCTCGTTTGAACTAAGCATGTGCATGGCTTTAGTAACGTAAATAAATGGCTTGCATACACTCAGACACACAGGGAGTAGTTAATGGGCCCCTCGTCCATGTGCACATGACCAATTTCAGTTTTCTCTTTAAAATCATTTCTGATCTCTGTCTGAATCTAAGAAACTTCCCTCAGTACTTTGTATACCTCTTTCTTCACTCTTATAAAGGTTCTGTGTGATATCTTTTTGCACCAAAGGCATTTATCTTGCCGCCCATTTGGAGAACATGTTTAGATTTCCCCGCAGGTATATTTCCTGGTATAAATGTTAGCTCTCAGCTTTAACACAGCATTCATCAACAGGATGTAGCTCGTCATGTCTGTTAGATTATAATTTTGGCTATACTGTGTTTTTAGTGTGTAGGTTAGGGGTGTAGTAATTTCAAAGAGTTGTATGTGTAGAGGAAGGTGTTTTTCCTCATTGCCTAGTAGAAAATCTGTGACCTGCTGTTGTTTTGTATGTACTGAAGTTAATTATTAACGTGTCTCCTTTGCCGTAGGCCATGAACTTGGTAAGTTTTGGATATATAACTACAATCTTTTGCTTCAGGCTTTGTGCTTTGTGGTTGGCATCACATAACTGCTAGCCCACATTGCAGTTTTACCGCCAGACTCAAAAATCCTGCTCATTACTCCATTGTTTTTTTAGTGGCTTTAGTTAAATACTGGTGATGGCTCCAGTTAGCTAGTCTGCTACCTTGGTGCTCTTTCTGCTTTGGCATCCCACTGTATCTGCTTTGCACTCTGTCCTGTCTTCCCTCATAGTTACTGCTTCATGCTGAATTACTGTATAACATGTTGGCTGGCTTGCTGTCTGCACTGGCCTTGAAGGCTGGCTGCTTCTAAATTTGACTGGATTTGACCAGATGGAGCATTGTCATTGTGTATCGCCTTTTTCTCTGTTATTCAGGACCAGGTATCCAAAGACAAGGCACTGCAGACGGTGGCCAACCTCTCGTCAGCTCAGATTGTGTCTGCTAGTGTAATGAAACCCCAGACTCAGTTCGCTCCACCAGTCAGAGTGAGCCTCACACACACACACACACACACACACACACACACACACACACACACACACACACACACACACACACACACACACACACACACACACACACACACACACACACACACACACACACACACACACACACACACACACACACACACACAGTCAAGCATCTGTTCTTTTCTACCTTCTGGGTAAAGCTCTGAGTAATACTATCTGCTCCATTTCCCTTCTTTCCTTTTGTTTAGTTTTGGCCCGGCCCTATGCCAGGACAGGCTGGACATTCTCAGGAGTAAGTATCACTGGCAGATTATTTGGTGTTGTTTGTTTAAACCGGAGAATGTCTCATCATTTTGTGTTCCTTTTTGCAGCATCAAGCCCTTTGCACAGCCACCATACACTACACTACCACCCACTGTCGCTGCACCTATCAGTAAGTGTGAACCCACTGATTTTTACTGAGTTTTAAGCGATAATGTTCGGTATGTTAATTGTTTTCCTGATTTAAATGTTTTACAGGCTATGAGCCCCTGCCTCCCCAGCGTCCCGCCGCCATAGCAGCTCCTGTATGGCAAGACAGAACCATCGCCTCAGCAAAACTACGGCTACTAGAGTACTCTGCATTTATGGAGATCCAGAAAGAAAGGGAGATGGTACAGACACCCAGACCTTTATAAAATACTACATAATATTTTTTAATGTCCTTTCCGATTGTTTTCTTATCACTTCTCCTTCCTTCCCTACAGTATAAACACCTTTTCGTGCTCATTGGACCGTCAAACCCGGGTTACAATGACCCCGTTTTGGAGTCCATAGATGTGAGGCAGATTTACGACAAGTTCTCCGAGAAGAAGGGAGGCCTGAAGGAGCTGTATGAAAAAGGGCCGCACAACGCATTCTTCCTGGTCAAGTTCTGGGTCAGTACACAATGCCAGTATTCTCCCTTTTTTACAGGCGCGCTGCAGAAAAGTAGGTCAGGGTAATTAAAAAATGACCCCAGGAAGTCAGGTGATTATTAGGGTATTGTACGACATTGAACACAAAATGCATTCCAGTTTTTACGTTGGATTTATTTGTATTACTCATTTAGATAGATTGTTAGTTTATACATTATACAACTCAGTTTACAACCAGCTACACTACACTGGGAAAGCAAAGCCAGTGTGATGATAGGGCACAGGAAATTAGTAGTTGATAGCGATGGTAAATAAACAAAAGTAATCTTTACATTCAGTGTTAGTCATCAGGCTGCAACAAATAGTTGAAGGCTTCAATCAACCTGTTCTTTCCAATTCTACATCAACATTTTAATGATGTACAGTTTTTTTATATATACATGTTTACTCATTCTTTTAAACTATACAATATGACAAAAGAGATTTAAAGATGTATTCAAAGACCACAAAAGCAGCTTTAAATACAAATAAATACATTGGTACAGCCATAGTTAGTTACTTAATATATCTGAACAATGTATTTCCATCCAGACCCAGGTATTTGAAGGAATAAACACATCAGAGAGGGTTGTATCTGTCTTTTTTATTAGCTTCCACTGATTTATTTTCCTCTCTTGACACTCATTCTCCATCTTTCTGTGCTGGCTTCAGGCGGACCTGAGCAGCGACATCGAGGAAGGCTCCGGCGTGTTCTACGGCGTGAGCAGCCAGTACAGTGGAACAGAAAACATTACCATCAGTGTCTCAACGAAGGTCTGCTCCTTTGGCAAGCAGGTGGTCGAGAAGGTGGAGGTAAGAAGCTTTAATTGAATACTCATAATGCATTTCATATGCAACCGTTTTAAGATATGGTTTAATTGTTTATGTGTGGATTTCTCTCTCTCAGACAGAATATGCTCACATGGAAGGAGGAAAGTATGTGTTCCGCATCCATCGCTCGCCCATGTGTGAATATATGATCAACTTCATCCACAAGCTCAAACACCTGCCGGAGAAATACATGATGAACAGCGTACTCGAGAACTTCACCATCCTGCAGGTGTGTGTTGGCCCCTCATGTTATTTCCTATATTAGTATATCTTGACAGGTCTCTGTTTGTTTTAATATAAGTTAGATTAGATTCCTTTATTGTCACTTACACAGAGTACAGCAAAATTCCAAGCATTCCCGATGGTGCAATCACACATAACATACAGTATAAGTATCATTTTGAAAATACAAGCTAAAACTTTTCATATATAATAAATAAAATGACTATAAATTGGACCTATGATACATTGAACAGTACGCTTACAAAACAATACAACATTACCATACAAATACAAGAACAATGCGGTCAAGGCAGTAAAAAATGTAAACAAGTCAATAAGTAAGTTATTGTACATGTATTTATCAGTGCAGTTGATGATTACATTACATTGCATTTAGCTGACGCTTTTATCCAAAGCGACTTACAATAAGTGCGTTCGACCAAGAAGATACAAACTAGAAGAAAACAGAATCATATAAGTACATCAGGTTTCATATGCGGCTTTCACACCAGCGCTTTTCCCTTTCTAGCTCCTAGCTAGAGCTTTTCTGGTTCAGCTCCGGTTTCCCTTTTCAGCTCCCGCTCTGTTCACACCGCCCAGCCGCCGCTGCTGCGTCATGACGTCACCGTTTACATCGCTGATTGTTTCCCCAACGGAGCTCACAACAACAACGGGGGGGGACTGCGTCGGGTCGATGATAGTGTTGCTTTTAATCATACGAAGCCAGATTAAATTAAATAACGACTTCTCCAACCTTATACGTTTCTCCAGAGTGCTGTGGTTCATTGTTTATTAATGTGTTTCAGCGGCATTTACCGACCGCTGCAGTGCTGGCTGCTCTTCCACGGGAGTGTATTCTCCCGTTAGCTCCGGGTTAGCTCACACGGCTCTAAAGTATTCACTGTCTGACTGTCACACAAGCAGCTGATACATATCCCCAGTTCCCCTTAAGTGAATGTGTGTCAGTCTGAATTGACGCTGTTTGGCATCACAACGCTGTTATGAAAGTTTCTCTGGTATAACATGGGTGATGTTAGCATAGCAACCGAAGCTAAACTGACTACTTGCCAAGCCGTTTTCTACAGGCACTTTTTACCGGCGTATTTTTCATTATGATTCTACTTGTGATAGTCGGACATGACAACCTGTGCAGCCCATGTATTGATTCCATCCGATAGCTGCTATAATAACAAACAAAACGTCTGCCTGCTCTCCATAATTATCAATAACAGCGAACGGATGGTCAAAGTAAGGTACAAATAAACAGAATCACACGAAGCCTGGTTAGTGTTGCCTGACTTTATAAAGTGTGTTTTTTTTTATAAGTGTGTGGTTGCCTTCTAGTCACTTTGCTCAGCGCTACTGCTTGTAGGCAGGCATGACGAGACTCTTCAGTCGACCCATGTTCAGGGGAGGTGGGTTTAGTTTCCTGCACGCCTCGACGTAAGAGAGACGTAAGCGAGCCGAGCCGGAGCTGGAAAAGCGCCGGTGTGAAAGGGGCAATAGAGCCAAAACATTTCAAGTGCTACTCAACTAGCTTTAGATAAGCCAGTCCTTTATTAGTATATAAGTGCTTTGTTAGTAATTGTATTGCTCGAAGTGGAGTCGAAAGATTACAAAACTAGAAATAAATAGGTGTTCTATAAAAACGGTATGATGTAGAATATAAAGTGCAGTTGGATGTAAACATGTACTTAGTTGAGCATAAGTTCAGTTCCATTAGTGCTGTGATTGTCTGGCTGTGTTCAGCTCACGTATGGCACTGGGGTAAAAGTTGTTCTTATGTCTATTTGTCCGTGATTTGATGCTGACCTCCACCATGTTTCCCTCTTTCTCTCGCTAGGTGGTGTCCAACAGAGAGACTCAGGAGACTCTGCTGTGCATCGCCTTTGTGTTCGAGGTGTCCACTAGTGAACATGGAGCACAGTACCACGTTTATCGACTAGTTAACGACTAGCAGCACATGGTGTGCATGCAGAGACTCTCCACAGACTTTTTGATACATACAGCATAAACACTATTTCCAGCTCAAACACACAGAACCCCCACTCCTGTACTCTCAACACACTTGTTTTAACAGACCAACAGTCACACTCTAGTCACACCTCTTGTTTGTATGTGTATGCTTTTCCATCACTGCAAACTATGCACCCTTTTTTAAACAGCCCATGACTTAAACACTAAAGTGAAGTTCTTTTATTATAGATTTCTACAAAAAAGTGAGTAATTATCACCAAGTGTTGTGATGTAATCCATGAAATGATTTAGTCACATTAACCTCTCACCTGGAGAAACTGATTGAGCACATCTCAATGTATCAAGGTGCATTAAAGGTGTTCGTCTTTTTTTTATTGTATCCACTGACAAGCAAAGGAAAAGACACATAAGAGCTAAATGCTATAAAACAAGTTTAATATAGGGTATTCTATTTTCATATCCATTATAAGGGCAATGTAGCTGTGGTGCACTAAAGATGTATATTCTCTTTTCCTGGCATATGTATTTACGGCATAGGTGTGACTGATGTGAGACCAGTTTGAATATAGATTGGCAATCAAATCATTTAATCAGTGTTAATGTTACTATTCCACAATGACTTTTCCTTCTGCAGTTTAGTATCTCTGTAAGGATTGAAAAGAGCCTTAATTGGGGTATCCTCTATCATTGCTTCGTGTGGAGAATCATTATTATACTCCACTTGGTTTAATCAAAACTCTAAGGGAAATGCAGCAGGAAATATAAGTCTGCCTCTTCCCAGAATGCAATTCACTACATGTCTAGACGTAAATGTCCTATTTATATTTGAAACACGTTGTAATGTGTAAAGAGAGCCATCCTTTTAAGTGTTTAAGTTAGGCTCACCTGTCTTTGGAATCAAAAATAGTTCACAGCTAGTTTAATATTCAGTTCACACTTTAGTATCAGCAGCATTTTGAAAGAAAGAAATGATCTTTTACTGTTCATTAACAAAATCCAGTTTTAACTCTGACTGTGTGGGCTCGCTGCAGTATTTCTACCTCCACGTGAGTTGGGATAAGAATGTGCTTTGGTTCATAAAGCCTTAACCTGAGGAGCACTGATGTATAGGACGTGTACACTACACTTGTAATGGTACTGTTTATAAACCAAAACAAGGTAAATAGACTCGTTTTTGTAAAGATGAACTATCTTTTTTTGTATTGTACCAGCACGGCTAGAAGTGTTACTCTAAGCATCAGAAATGATGGGTTGTTTTGGTTGTATCTTTTTGGATGTATGCAAAATGATGTATGGTACAGACCACACTACGGTCACCCACAGTGCACTGGGGTAGATTTTTGTCTGATAACACTAACAAATTATCCAGCTTTCATTGCTTTTTTTCTCTTTTGTTCAATGTAATATTTTTTGGTTTCTGGTACAAGTTGCTACCAGTCTTTTTTATATAGTAAGTGTTTTTTGACTCTATTACGCCCTTTCCAGGCAGGATTATCTTTAACCATGTGAAAAGTGACAACGATTTGTCTCGACCATGAAAGTAAAAGCCGACTGGTTCAGTTTTAAATAACCATATTCACTTTCTGGTCAGCTAAAAATGTTTATTCTTTTATTTTTCCTATCACTGTACTCTGGTTGGCTGTGCCTCATCACTCCTTTGGTCAATTCTGCTCAGTGAATTAAATCTGTGCCTTCATGCTGTACCAATAAAATCACATGGTGTTTGCAAAATTGTGTATCATTTAGAGTTTTTATACTAACACTTTGGCTGCATGGGAAAGGAATTAATTAATGTTTAAACGTCAATCCCTAATTAAGTGAAATCCCATATACTGCACAGGCCTATTTATTTGCTTTAGTTTCAGTGTCCTCATCTGTAGTTTTTGTACTACGACAAGTCATAATGTCTTCTGTGTATTGCATTCCTATATCTACAGCAATTTCAATTATCTTTTTTGTTATGTTATAGCCACTTGAACAGTTTTAACAACGTATGTCACCTGATTAATCACCCCCCCTTGTGTTACACACTGAAAATGTCATGACATAGGTTGCATTTCTCATTCAGTCTGCTAGATGGGGCTGTCACCTCAGTTATATAGACTTGGCATTTGTGTGTGACAAGTGTCTCCTCTTCACGGAAACATGATCTTATTTGTATTAATTATCACATGTGTTGAGATATTGGTGTGATAGAAACAAACAGTGCCATTCATTGTAATGATTCCTTAATGTTAAAAAAATGCTATAAAAGTATTCATATTGGCAGTTTTTGTTTGGCCAATGGGAAAGTATGCTGCTTTTATGTGCACCACTGAAATGAAAGATACATACGTGTCATAATAGAGCTTATTTAGGGCAAAGGTTGATATTTATCAACACAGCTTTTGCTATCTGTAAATGGACTGCATTTATATAGCACTTTTCCTTCAGCATCCACCCATTTACTATCATTCATAAAGACGCAGAGACTGCCATACAAGATTCCATCAACTCAGGAACACTAATACTCACACACATTCAAAGCAGCCGGATCTGTTGAATATGAGATGGCAACTATCCAAGGCATACATAAACAAGTAGGTGTAGGTGATAAGAATCTTTCACAGTCTATAACCTTTACTTTCCAAGAAACACAAAAAAAACGTAGTACTAAAAAATTCTATTAGAATTTAACAAAAAAAAAAAACACTAACACCTGTTAAGTTTAACAGGATATCAAAATAAAATGTTTAATTGCCCTAAAGATAAAAGTGATTGGATAGTTCTTCATGTTATTTCTTGTCCTTTAATTTTTATTGTACAATGCCATGTCTTTTTATGCTGCTGCAACACAAAAATGTCCCAAATTGGAATCAATAAAGTTCTATCTTATCTTATATTAATCCATGTTACAGGTGCGAATGGATTCGTTAAGATCTTAATACCAACTGGCATCTGCATCGTGATCCAGTCTTTTTAATGTATTCAATAAGGGCCAACAGAAGACAAAAACCAAGTTGTAAATCTTTAGACACATTTTTGCTTCATCCAGATGTTCTGTAGCCATTGTCAAAGGGCATGACGGCCTGTACACCTGCTCACTTCCAGTATTCCTTAAACATTAGTCAGAATGTTATCCGTCTGGAAAGGCTCAAATAACCTACGGCGTCCTGCAAAAACTACATGCAGTGAACAGTCGCACACACACACACACACACACACACACACACACACACACAGCCCTTAGGCAGGGTGTGGTACTTGCTGTCCACATAAGCATGCCAACATTGCAGCAGTACAAGAATATAGCTGAGATAGTTCACAGGTTGCTCGTGTTGTATTTCAACTTAAATTATTGAGCCATGATGGAGCACTGATAGTGGTTTAGTTACTAAGTTACTTTACAATCGAATAAATCTGGCTTTAAAACGACATGGGCTTTGTTTTTTTGGTCAGTTTAACTATACTGCCATGTCATGATCCGATAATCCTACCTGATCTAAGGAATTTCACACTATCTGACCATAAAACTAATGTTTGACTCATGTTCCTCCCTTTATCAGATAAAAACTATGGTAGGAATATAGACTTCATATGCACCGAGTTGTTTTTCCTTGTCATTAATACACACACTTCAAAGATATATTACGCACATGATACAGTATGTGTTACCTTGGCAGGTTTAAGGAGAAGGGTGTGGTGGGAAAGTGTAACCTGCAGAAACGTAGCCAAAACATTCCGGTTAAGCAGAAAGCATGTGCTTGATGTGTAGTCTCCTTCTTTCTTTTCTCTCTTCTAACTGGCTCTGCTATTCTCAAACTGAGATACGTTGGCTCCTGCCCTGACATCACATCTGGCATTGAACATTTGCATAAAATAAAAAAGCAGGGCATCGGGAGTTTAGCCAAGAAGCTGTCGAGGGAAAAAAACAGCAGTGTACCTCACACAGGTCGATCAATTTAGTTTGTAAAGATGATTAATGAGGACATAATTATAGTGTGGGAGAGAGAGAGAGATAGAGACGTGAATCAATTTGAGTAAAGTTTAGTAAAGCACTATCAATTTTAGTAAAGTTAAAATCATGATGATGTCTTTACCTTTGATTAAAAAAAAACATTTATCCAAAAACAGCCTTATGCCAGCTGACTTATGTGGAGTTACAACCGAAATAAGGAGCAATGGATGGATTCAAGATCACTTAACATGGGCATATCGGAAGAGGCGTTTTAAATGGAAATGAAGTTCAGAAATTAATGGAGAAAAAAAAGTAGTTTGCCATGCCCTGCTTGTAACAACATCAAAATGATTTTACTCAGATTTTACCGAATAAGTCAGCGAAGTTGTTAGGTGGATATACCGTTGTAAAATGGAAAAAGAACCTATGATTATGCTAGTATTTGTGTATGTTAATTTGTGTTATTACTTCATTTATTTAAAAGTGTTAAAACAATCAAAAATATTACAAGAAAAATCTTGCATTCAAAAGTTAACACTGAGTATTATTGGCAAAAAAGTGTATGCATACAGTATTTATGATATATTCTGCCTATAAGAGAATATTCCTGTCAAATTGATATTGTACAATTTGGCACAATTTATCTATAAAGCCTTAATAAAATTGTTTATGAATATTAACAAACCCTAACAACTTGTAAACCCTTTCCTAAAGTGTGGACACATATGTATGACATGTACAATATCTTTTTGCAGCAATGCCTTATTCCTAATTATGAATCATATGAATTATTCTTGAGTGCAAGTGTAGATCTGAGGAGTCAGATAATACTCTATTATTTCCATTACTCATGCATTAATATAGCTTACATTTTAGTAGTTGGTCAAGGTTTAGCCTTTTTTTATATTTTATAAGCTCATGATACTGTATATTCAAGTATGTGACCCTAAAATCTATATATTATAAGTTATGGTTTGGCTTGAGATGCCTTAATGTATCAGGCTTCATTCCAACACTACTTATGAACTTTGAACATTTCTTGAAGCGTTAACAGAGAGAAAAAACACGTACTTATTAAAGAGCAGGCTGTTTATGCTAATCAGCTCAGGTGTGCAGATATTGCACACGGCCCCGCCCACCAGTGGCTCCTGCAGTGAACTCCCTCTGGTCCCACCTCGACAGGGCGCGGTCCGGAGGGTGGAGTCCACCGCCGCTGGCTGATCTCTGAACACTTTGCCAACCTCCAGACTTGGCCCTGTCCGCTGCTCTACTCACGCTGAGTCGAGCTGCGTTTTTTCCTTCGGGTCTGCACTTTATTTGGAAACTTGTTTTCAAACGAACTGTTCTTGAGAAGGGCACCGAGCTGGGAAAATGATGGCTCCGGAACCGCTGCGTTCAGCTATGAATATCCGATGCGTGGAGGACACTTCGCTTGCGGTGCCCTCCGACACCAAGCTGCACTCAGGACAGCAGCGCGTGCTGGATCAAGTGCACACCATCAAGAGAAGCAAGTCAAAACCTGGGAAGAACGGCACATTGTCCCCCCCAGCTCTAAGTATGGAAAAAAATACTTTACACATTAACAGCACATTAAGAATATCTCCTCATAGTGCATGTTCTAACCTCTTCATTTGGGCAGTGAGGTTTTATTTAGGCATCCTTATGTAGGCATATCACTTTTGCGCTTGTTTGCTAAAATTAAATCGTTTTTTTGTGGTTCCTGGCAATTATGCGTCACACAACTTTCCCTTCAGTGACCTCCTGCAGACAGGTTGAACGTGCTATGTTCCTGTTCTGTGTTTTTTGTCAACGTGAGGAAAACAGACCGCTCGTGATTCTCTTTGTAGATTTTAAGTGTGGACAACATTGCTGCTGCTTAAAGTTAACTAGTGAGCTAATTTTAGTTAACTGCGAGAGAAGTAGTGTTGAACATGTTGAGGGGGTGTTTAGTGATAGTATCTATATCGGAGGTGTGTTGGTAACGCCATGAACATAGGATCAGCGTGTGAAATATGACCCATGGTTATCTGCTGTTAAACTAAAGTGTTTTGTTAGTGTAAGCTCTGGGAAGTAGTCTCATGATCCTATTCCTACTGTACATGAGCTTGCCACAGAGGTTTCTGTATACAGCCCATGGGGTTTAGCTACACACAGCCCAAACACATGTATGAAATTATATTTTAGTCTTTCAAAACCACTCTGGTATTTGGCTTTTACTTCAACAGGCATTATAAAGTACCACCAAAATTGAGAGAGCGAGAGATAAACAACAAAAACTTCTCGGGTCAAAGCAGGGCATACTGTGCTATTTGACTGTTTTATTGACACATTCAATGCTTTCAAGTGTGTGGCTCGCGTGATAAGAATATTGCTGACCTGTTTTAAAATGGGCCTTTTATTCAATTTAAAGATTGTAATTACAATCACTGGTTTAAGATTATAAGATTAAACGAAAAATGTAGCCATTATGAACGCATAGCCTACATCCAAACCAGGCAATATTGGTTCATAAAAAGTACCATTTGAAAGCTTGCACCTTTTTAATAATAGGCTTTATCCAAATGTGTCCACATACAGAATAGCAAAATTAACTCCATATTTATTTGTCCCTTCAAATTTCTGTTCGTGATTCTGTCTTTTGTGTTATAGGCATCATTTAGGAGTTATGAAGTTGTCTAAAAAGAGAGCTAGGTGTAAAGTAACCTCAAGATCTGACAAGAAAATACTTTGCTGTGAGTGAATTTTGACATAACACATAACAGAAGGATAGTCAAACTCAGAATATATATATTAGATATTAATGAAAACAACCACAAGGTTAGTCTTGCATATACGCCTGAGGCTGCTCTTAATATTCCTCTTCCACCAACCTGTTCATATAATAAGCTAAGCAGTGTTAATGGTTCACACATAGAGGGTAATGAGACAGTTGGACCCTCTGGACCGGGGACATTCCCGTTTGCAGCCAAGACATTATTAGATATTTCTGCTGCAGACCCTACATAATACTAACAAGAAGAAAAATACATACTTCAGTTATCCCATTCATGCAGATTTCATTAAAGATTGAAGTGATTGGATTTGTGTTCATAGTGATCAATGATTTAAAGGTAGAGGAAAGAAAGTGTTGCGTTAAAACAACAAGCAGGCCTTCCAGAAAAGACCCACATCAATGAGAGTCTCTATTGATTGAATTTCTGTGTCAACACAAGTGACTAACATGATTTGGCCATGTCTCCCTCAGTGTGCATCTGAAGCTGCTTCACTTTATCATTGCTTTATTACCTTTGTTAAACAAAAGGTAAGAAATAAACACATAAGCTAAATTGTACAAAATAAACTTTAAAAAATGTACTAAATTAACACGTGATGTCATTGGAGTGTAACACTTTTTGACGTGGCAACACATTAGTCAATAACTTGAATTAAAATGATTCTTTACTGTATAATGTATATAGTAATATTGCACTGTAAGAGATTGGAACGCATTGTCTCCTCTTTGAGTATCGGTATTGGTGTCTCTGCATCCTCTTGTGAAACTCAGAAAATGTATAAAAAATGCAAGGCTAGATGGTAATAGTGTCGGCTAAGGAATAAAATATATTTAATTTTTTCAGTAACTGACCCTTTAAAGAGATTCGTTGTGTTCCCTGCATAGACCTCATGTATGATAATGGTGATTCATATGCCGTTGTTTTGACAATCATAATCCTGTAATGGTGTGGTGAAGACACAGCCTTACATTTTGGGACAATGTGCAAACCTTGCGTTTTGATGAATCACCCAACGAGACAGACGGGCTGAGATGCCAGCGCACGTCGGCTCTGTGGCTGGATTAAGTTTACTCACAAACTGCTGACTGTGAATCACAGACTGTGAATCACATTATGACAGGTCTGTGTCTGATTGTAGATTGCCAGTCATGCATATAAAAGATTGGAAAAATATTTGTTTTGGATGATGATCGGAAAAACTACAGAGCGATTGGTAAAACACTTGACAAGCGAATTATATCATTAACAATAAAGTTCAAATTGTTATTCATTTCAGACATAAGTATTTAATCAGAGGTTATACAGAAACCTTATGACAATTTTGAAAAATATGTAATAATTAAATAATAAAAACATAATTCACAGAGTTAAACAAAAGAACTGCATTAGGAGAAATAAAGAAAATAATTTAAGTGTTGTGTATTTTATACCAAAAGTAATGCATTGAGGATTTGCTCTTGAGCTTCTTGAAACTGATGTGTTTGATGGGTAATGGAGGCAGTACGGTTTTCAATGTTGAAGAGATCTATCTATTATGGGATGTTTAGTGTTTTCCTACTTTATCAGTTTAGGAGGATGGTCCTCTCGGCGACTGTAAAAGCGACGAGTACTTTTCTTATAATGTGGTGAAGAGATGTGAGGCATTGCGGGATCCTGTCGTTTATGAAGGAGAAGGAGACTGTCTTTCCATTATGTTAATATGGGTGGGCAGCGCCAGATTGCATCGTCCAAAGGGGGGCAGAGTGCTAACCTGATTCTGATTGGCTAATTTGGGGCATCTTTTTGTGTTCTAATGTAAACCTTTAAATACATTTGAGTGTGGGTTTATATGTCATTTTGACTGTGCAGAGTTCCCTCCATGGGATCAATTAAGTAAAGGACTTTATTTTGAGCTTGACTGCATGGTATTGCGAGTTGTTGTTCATTTCAGTTTCCATATGTCTCTTCTGTTAACAGGCCCATTACCGCAGAATATGTCAACATATGAGTTTGGAACCTTCAAGTTTTCTCCGTCCAAAGCAAATGGGTTCTTCAGTCGCACCAACTCCAGTCAGTCAACAGCCAAAGTGGTAAGTGCGCTGTTGTTTTAGTGATTGTCAGCGCTAATATCCTTTTACTTTTCACAGACATAACATTAAAGGACAACAATGGTAATTTTAGCTACTGTTATCAAAGATACTTAAAGGTCACCTATTATGCAAAATCCACTTGTTCATGTCTTTTATACATAAACATGTGTCCCCTCTGTGTAAAGAGATTCTGAAAGTTTCAGGAAAAAAGATTCTCTCACTTTTTGTCCTGATCCATTTCTATAAAAACCTGTCTGAAAATGAGCTGATCAGATTTTGGCCACTTTATGATGTCATAATGTTTTTTTGGCTTGTGTAACCATTAGCCAAAACCAACCAAGGTAACGAAAACTGAAAACAGAGAAGCAGCTAGCGTTACTCTGTGAACAAAAGCAGCCTGTCCGCACCTCTAAAGCTCTCAAATCAACATGTTATAACCTGTTTGTTAAATCCATAGAACAATCTGTTCTGGTTTTTCTGTGAAAACTTGCAGTAACAGTGCTGTGAACACTCGGATACCAAAACACCTCGATATTCTGATCCAACTTTAAAAAAAAGAAAGTTTAAAGTATTTATTTGATCATAGAAACCAAATCCTGCCGAATGGGAGGCACTTATCTGTGACCGTTGATCTAAGACATTGTTTTAATGAAACCTTATAAGATAAGATGAGATAAGATAAGATGGTACTTTATTGATCCCAATTTGGGAAATTGTTTTTGTTGCAGCAGCATAAAAGACAAGGCATTTTACAATAAAACAAAACTACAAAATAAACAAGAATAGAAGGAAAAATAAAATAAAATAGAAAATATACATGCAGATATTATATATACAAATATATATATATTCAAAAATATGGACATATGGAGTATTAAATATTGAACAGATTATATATGAGTAAAATGTACAACGTGGTTTTATTTCAAGAGAAACTATGGAGCAGAGAGTTCTCTTCCAGCCAGAGGTGATTTATTGTACAGTGTTATTGCAGTGGGCAGGAATGTTTTCCAGTATCTGTCCTTGTGACAGGGGAGCTGCAGCAGTCTGTTGGAGAAGGAGCTCCGTTGACTGTCCAGCTGCAGGTGGAGAGGATGGCTGGGGTTATCCATGATGGACAACAGCCTGTTCAGTGTCCTCCTCTCCACCACAGCTTCAAAGGGGTCCAGCTTAATGCTGATGACTGACCCAGCTTTCCTGATCAGTTTATTGATCCTGCTGGTGTCACCGGCTCTTATGCTGCCCCCCCAGCGGACCGCAGCAAAGAAGAGTGCACTAGCCACAACAGACTGGTAGAAGATCTCCAGCATCTTACTGCACACATGGAAGGATCTCAGCTTCCTCAGAAAATAGAGTCTGCTCATCCCCTTCTTGTACACAGCGTCAGTGTTGATCCTCCAGTTCAGCCCATTGTCTAAGTGCACTCCCAGGTACTTGTAGTCCTCCTCAACAGCCACATCCTCTCCTAGAATGCACAGGGGCAGAGGAGGAGATGTCTTCTTCCTCCTGAAATCAATGACCATCTCTCTGGTCTTGGCCACATTCAGAAGCAGATGATTTCCACCAGTCCACTCTACAAAATCACCCACCAGTGCTCTGTACTCCTCCTCCCGTCCATCCCTTATACACCCTACCACTGCAGAGTCATCCGAAAACTTCTGCAGGTGGCATGACTCTGAGTTGTATTGAAAGTCAGAGGTGTATAAGGTGAACAGGAAAGGAGACAGCACAGTCCCCTGTGGGGCTCCAATACTACCAACCACCACATCAGACAGCACACTGCCCAGCCGGACGTACTGTGGTCTGTCCGTGAGGTAGTTGGTAATCCAGGAGATGGTGGACGAGTTTACCCTCATAGACTGCAGCTTGTCACTCAGTAGCCGAGGCTGGATCGCGTTGAATGCGCTGGAGAAATCAAAAAAGGTGATTCTCACAGTGCAACCCGATCCATTCAGGTATGAGTGAGCACGCTGCAGCAGGTAAATAATGGCATCGTCCACCCCCAGGTGAGGCTGGTAGGCAAATTGCAGAGGGTCAAGGAATGATCTCACCTGCGGTCTGAGATGGGCCAAGACCAGTCTCTCAAGCACCTTCATCACATGAGATGTGAGTGCTACAGGGCGATAGTCATTGAGCCCAGAAGGAGTCGTCTTTTTAGGGACCGGAACAACGCAGGATGTCTTCCACAGCACCGGGATGGTCTCCAGGTGCAGGCTCGGGTTGAACAGATGTTGGAGAACAGGAGACAGCTGGCGGGCACAGGTCCTCAGGACCCTGGGGCTGATACCATCAGGGCCAGCAGCCTTGCCTTGGTTATGTACAGTAGTTATGTTGGTTGAGCTCATGGTAAAACCACACAGGTTTGCAGCTCGATTGATACAGTTTAATGAGTACACTGTCTTATGTGCCAGGCACGTGTGATTTTCTAATTTTGGATATGGACAAATATTTGTTTTGAGTTTTACTGATGTGCAATACTAGACTCCAAATTCTACAGTGGAGTAATGTTGACACTGTGTGTGTGTGTATGTGTGTGTGGGCATGCTCTGTGTTTGCCTGGCCTGACCTACTGACAGTGAGTTGAGGCATGTCTAGGGAGTGTGGTGAGGTGTTGTTGCTGATGAAGGCTCATTATTAGTTCCTAAGATTATGTTCTGGTACTTTGTGTTTCATTTGTGTTACTCTGGTTGTGTGGATGAGGAATCTGTCACCTCAAGCAAATCAAATCCCTAAATCACGTTTTGAAGCCCCTTGCAGAGCTGGTAACATTGTTCTCTTGTCTTGTATACAGCACCTTAAATGACCCCTGTCATACAGTAAACTATGTCTTAACACTGCTGTATTAAATGAAAGCTTTAACAATATAAATATTCATTTAATAAGTGAAGGAACAAATAGATCTGTATGATCACCAAACAACGGTTACCCAACCTCCTACCACTCTTATATTTAGAATAACTTATCACCCTAACTCTGTGATAATCTTACTCAGAAATGATGTCGGATAACTAGATGGAAATGTCTCTCAATAACATATTTGAAAATGATCTAGCTTGATTCAAGAATACCTTTGATGGTTGACACATGGCGGTTATGTTATGTATTGCAATAAAGCTTAACTCCATCAGAAGTTAGCTTTTGCCAACGGTGAAAGCTTCTGCTGGGCGACAATTCACGTTTCATTTATAACATTTAGCAAGGCATCAGAATCTGAAATCTCTCTGATAGGCCAGCAGATGTATGCCTCTTACAATGACTGGCAAAAGTGAAAACCAGATATGAATTATAACAAATAAAATGGCTCCTGCTGTTGTTTCTCTGCTGCTTCTATTTGCTCTGCTGAATTTGCATCAGTCTCTCCAGTCTGGCCTCTGATATGAGGAAGGCTGTAGCCAAATGAAGGAGCATGCAGCTCTCTGAGAGTAAACACACGGTCAGTTCTTATCAAACATGTTGTTGACACATCTCTCCTCCATCATGCTTTTAGCTTGCTTAGTAGCGAGGCTGGCTAGTAACTAAGCAACTAGTCCAATTTAAAAAGGGGAAACAGAGCCGGTACATACAGTCTTCAGTGTGTGTTTGTATATATTTATATATATACCTGTAAGTGTGTGTGTGTTACCTGCTTCCCCATTAGCAAATATACCGTCCTAATAAATGCCACAGTTCAATTTAAGACGCCTACATGTCGGCTGCAGAAGTTGAGAGTTTGTAAGCTAAGATTTGTATGAGTTTTTGGTGCTCATGGGTGCACACTCCTTTCCTTACTAACGTTTGGTGTGTTCAAAGGCGGATGGGAATTTTCCTCCCTGGCAGATTTGTGATTTGAATTGTACCTTTTCAAATAAGCCAATAGGAGATCAAGGCTTAGTGGAGAGAAAGTCTCATCTTTAAAGAATTAGCTAGACTTGTTCTGTCATTTTGCCCTTCCTGAGCCGAGTTTCGCTCTAATTAGTGGCAAAACTTGAAAGCCTGCTTTGTACACACACCTTCACATACAAAAGGACACACACACACACACTAGTGCAAAAAAGTCAAAATGATACATAAACCAGGCATAATTATGTGAGATTAAAGGGGTTAATGACGTGCTGTATATGACCTGAACACACACAGATTCTCTGTGAGAAACTGCTCAAATGTGCCAGCAGTCTTTTAACGCAACTGCCTGAGTTGGTGTCCAATGACAGATATTATGTTACTCTTGTCCGTTTGGTGGTGCACTCTGTTGCCTTCAGCATGAACTGAGGAGGAGGAAATGTGTGCAGGCTTTGTGTGATGTCAAATTCCTCTGTCTTGGTTTACAGGGGACTACTTTGGAAAATGTTTGAGTAGAGTTTGGTCTAATCTCTTGCTGTTTTTGCAACATGGATTGTTACTACAGTAAAACATTAAGGGGATACAGTAATCAGATAATTGTTACTGCCATCTAAGTATAGTGTAGTACAGTATTTTAATAGGAAATCCTTTATGTGAAAGCCACTGACTTACATTACTTTCTTTTTTAGGGACATACTACAAAGAGTCGCACTCTATCTGCTAAAACCTCCAAAGGACAACATTACAGCTCAGGTGGATGGGAACAGAACAACTTTGCCACCCGGTCCCAGACCCTGACCCCCAATGGGATGAGATCCGCTCGCAGTGACCCGGCCTTGGCTCGTCCATTTGGTGCTGCTCCTACAGGCGGAACTGTTATGGTGATCAGTCATTATTATTTGAAAATGTAGTGATACTGAATTGCCATTGTCATGTTTTTTTTAGGGAATAGATTATTCAAACAAATATCATAAATACTCCACAATACCATTCTTTATGAGCATTGTAAATCACTCTTTTCTTAGAGAGCCAAAGGGCAGGCGGTCCAGAACAACATCATGCAGAATCGAGTCAATAGACAAAGCGTCTACTCTACGACCAGTAACCACCAGATGAACAGTAACCACCAGACGAACAGTAACCCCCATATGAACAGTAACCACCAGATGACCAACAGCCAGACACACATCGTCCAGCAGCCCTCCATGCACTCTATGACCGACGGCAGGATGGGAACCATCAAAAGGTCCAACATAGAGCAGATATCAGCGTGAGTTCTACTGGCTTGCTTGACAATTTCAGACCATAAGAGGGGGCTTGACATGGGCAACAAGTTTACATTTTATCAGCATATACATATAGTTTGTTGTAGGTCAGTTTCTCAATAAAGTTGATTTATTTTATTAAAGCAGGCCATTCATCATTTGTTGCTGGATTTGGCTGCAGACTTTGCCATGTGCCGTGTTTTTATGCTTGCATCCAATATAAGTACAGTCCATTTAAAAATAAAAACATATACTGGGTTATAAAATGTGCTCAGGTTTCAAATGACAAAAGAGCAACACTCAGCTTATTTGTGTATCGAATTTCCAACTCTATGCCTATTTCTGCAGGGTGAACAGCTCGGTGAACATGTCAGATATGACCCTGAAGCAGGCAATCGAGTTCCTGTCTCACTCGGATGAGAATTACCAGCAATGTGGAGCCACCTTCATTCAACACACCACCTACAAAGAGGAGAGCACCAAACAGGACGTCAGTGACACACCCTGCATGTTTGCACACATGGAAGTTGTATATTCTCACATGACATCTGTGGGATGACAGTTCATGATGGTAATACAACTGGTGCATGCTCTCTGTTTATACCTTTGTGTGACATTTTTGTGTCCCAGGTTTTAAAAATGGGAGGTATCCCGGCTCTTGTGACCCTGCTGCGGAGCGCCAACCCTGGGGTGAGCCAGGCTGCTGCTGGCGCTCTGAGGAACCTGGTGTTCAAAGACCAGGCCAACAAGCTGGAGGTTCAGCACTGTGGCGGGATCGCTAAGGCCCTGCAGCTGCTGAAGGAGTCAGACTCTACTGAGACGCAGAAACAAATAACTGGTAGGGACTGGTACTTTTTTTATTGGGACAGGAACTCAAGATATAAGAATTCCTCTGGTGCCTTTTAATTCAAAAATAAATACATATAAACATGTAAAATATATATTTGAAATAAATACCCAGTTCTTGGTTTTCAATTATGGATATGATTTATGCACTTATTCAGTAGATAAGGAGGACATCATTCAAGTAATAAAAATGATTGTAATACAGGTTTAACACAGCTTATATCATATAACGCTTGTTAAACCACATACATAAAGGCTATGAAAAACCAATTGATCTTCCTCCTTTTCTGAATCTCCTCCTAGAGCACATGTGTTATTTTTAACCAAATATCTCTCAGAGGGCCGTTGGGAGTGGCTCCTTATTTTCATCTAAAGTAACAGACAGAGAATCAGCACTTTTGAAACAGGCCTGAAACAGAGGGGATTATGGGATGCTGCAATGCACGATTTTGGTTTTTGGAGCCAAACACTTCAGAGACATGTTTTGTATATATCTGAGACCTACAATATGTTGATGAAAAACAGTATAATAGGGGACCTTTAATAGTGCATTCCTGTTTTATTCTTCTTAAATCATCTTTTAGGATGAAATGACACATGTTTGCAGGAATCCATCACAGTTATTAGATAATGATGTTTTATTCTGCATTCACTTTTCTTTTCATAATAAAAACGGTGCTGTTTGTGGAAATTCAGAATAGGCTTCTTAAATTAAACGAATAACTAAATCACTGCTTTATGATGGCATACCTTTAAAACAATAATATGAAACAAACTATTTATTGCACAGAAAAAATAACAATTTAACGAAAACTGAAAACAGAGAAGCAGCATCAACAAAAGTAGCCTGCCCGCACCTCTAAAGCTCTCAAATCAACATGTTGTAACCGGTTTGTTAAATCCATAGAAAAATCTGTTCTGGTTTTTCGGTGAAAATATGCAGTAACAGTGCTGTGAACACTCGGATACCAAAACACCTCTCGATATCCTGATCCAACTGTTAAAACCCTAGATAACAAACTTTCCTTCACTGCAAACATCGCTGCAACAACCCGCTGCTGCAGATACACTCTTTACAACATCAGGAGGATACGTCCCCTCCTGACCCAGAAAGCGATGCAGCTTCTGGTCCAGGCTCTCGTCATCTCACGCCTAGACTACTGCAACTCCCTCCTGGCTGGTCTACCTGTATGTGCCATCCGACCTCTGCAGCTCATCCAGAATGCAGCGGCTCGTCTGGTCTTCAACCTTCCTAAATGTTCCCACACCACACCACACCACACCGCTCCTCCGCTCCCTTCACTGGCTTCCAGTAACTGCTAGAATCCACTTCAAGACACTGGTACTAGCGTACCATGCTGTGAATGGATCTGGCCCTTTCTACATCCAGGACATGGTTAAACCATACACCCCAGCACGTGCACTCCGCTCTGCATCAGCCAAACGGCTCGCTGCACCCGCACTGCGAGGGGGACCCAAGTTCCCATCATCAAAAACACGTCGGTTTGCTATCCTGGCTCCAAAATGGTGGAATGAGCTCCCCATTGACATCAGGACAGCAGAAAGCTTACACATCTTCCGGCGCAGACCTCCAAACCAATTGATCTTCCTCCTTTTTCTACCATATACATTTTCAGGAGCAATACTTGTCCAGTACCACACCAAAGTCAAATCTCTATCATAACTTTCTTTTAACAATGGTTATTTGACCATCCATTTCAGAGAAAAACATTGATTTAAAAATAATAAGTGCAGCAACATGATGCAGCTTAGTTGTAACTCTACCTGTCTTGCCGTTTTTAGGACTGCTCTGGAACCTGTCCTCTGCCGACGAGCTGAAGGAAGAGATGATTTCTACAGCGCTGCCCGCCCTGACAGAGAACGTGGTGGAACCTTTCACCTGCTGGTCAGACAAAAGCACCAACAACAACATCCACCCTGATGTCTTCTACAGCGCCACAGGGTGCCTGCGGTGAGAACGCTTCATTAATCAGAGCCTCTGATGTTAGATTGTTGTCCTTTCAGGGCAGAGATCAGATAGTTCACAACACCTTTAATTAAATAGAGCAACATTTTGATGTCACAAACATCGTTGTCAAGGCTTCACAAAGCCAATGGCTGATCAATTAGTTATGAAATGGTTTACAGTTTTTTTTTTTTTTGTAGGAATGTTGGATATTGTGTGCTGATGGAATATATTGCATCTTTAGTTGAGGCACTCACAATTCTGTGTTTATTTTATTTGAGACGAGTAGGTGTTTCCTTTTGGATTTAAATGAATGATTGAAATGTGTTTAGGAACCTGAGCTCCGGCAAAAAGAAGGACAGAGAGGCAATGAGAGATTGCAGTGGCCTAATCAACTCCATCATGAGTTACATCCAGTCCTGTGTGGCAGAGGACAACCCTGATGACAAGGTAAACTTTCTCATCATTCTCATCTGTCGGTCAGCAGTCTCATTTGTACCCAGCACCTTCATCTTTTTCACATTGTCTCTCTAACACTGAATTATGGATGTGTGAGCACGCAAGACCAGTTTTGTTTGGATTCATGTCTGGTGCCGTATTCTAGTTCCCTCCTGTAGAACTACAAGTGTCTTACAAAGTGATTTCAGTCTCATTACATAGCATATACTTAATCCGTACAATACAATACAATACAATACAATACAATACAATAAAAGTACACATAAACACTGCAGGCGTTATTTTGGGTGTGGATGTGTTCTAATTATATGTGTGTAGCTCTCTGTTTACTTCTTGTAATGAAGCAGAGGGGGAATTTATCTTGTCAGCTTCAAGTTATTTCTTACCTGTAACTGGTTTCGGATGAGGACAGTTGCTGCGCTTTATGCGTGTGACTCACTTTAAATTCCCCTTGTAGTTGAAATGTTGTATACTTTATAAATAGACTTGCATTGATGGTAATAGTAATATATATATATATATATATACTGCACACATTTAATTGTATCTCTATATTGTCTTAATTTGAGTTGTTTACTTACTTTTTAATGAAGATCAAAAGATTTTACTTTTCATCGAGCGTAATTAACTGAATTTACTGAAATAAAAAGACAAACTGACATGTAAGACCTTGATCAATGTTTTCTTACTCGATTGGGAAATATCAATCACAAATACCTTAAAGACCTTAAACACGTTTCAATATATCCACCATTTAGGCTCGACAAATGCTCGTAAAAGGAAATTCAAAGTGTATTCTGCCTGGGAATTTTTTATTCTTGTCATCAGTCATGTCATTTCAGTCACTTCCTTCATTAGGGAGATCTAGAAAAGGCAGTGCTCTGTTTTATCTTCCATGTAGAAGTAATTTCAAATGCTTTTCTTTAAGTTTGACTGAGACTAGTTCCCTTGAGATCCAGATGTTAAATAATAAACCACAAATGGAGTCTTAGAAACTAATGTGAGTTCCTCATATTATATTTGCTCCATGTTCTCTTTAAACACTGTGGCAAATGACGTAAATAGATACTGCAGTTACATTGAAAAAGTACATCTGCTATGCAATGAACTTAATAATCTCCTCTCCTCTCCTCTAGTCTGTGGAGAACTGTGCATGCATCCTCCATAACTTGACCTACCAGCTGGAGGAAGAGTCCCCTGGGTGCTACAGCAAGTTCCAACCTGCGGGGAGGAAAGGCTCTGCAGTTGGATGCTTCAGCCCCAAGAGCAGCAAGGCCCAAAAGGAGGTGGGCAACAACCGCCAAACCTACACTTCAAGAGTGTTGCTCAAATCATGACCAGCTTTTATTCCAGGCAGCCTTCTCATCTCCTTCTCGTCCTTTCTCCTCAGATTTCACTTGACGCGGTACGGGGGATGCCGGAGGAGAGCACCCCGACAGGTGTGAACTGGTTGTGCCACCCCAAAGCCATGCAGACCTATATGTCTCTGCTGGGCTCGTCCCAGAAAGATGCCACCCTGGAAGCCTGCTGCGGGGCCCTGCAGAACCTCACTGCCTTAAAGGGAGCGGTGAGGACAAAAACATCAATGATTAGGACTACCATTTGTGTGTTGGGTTTTATCAGACATTCAGGATTATCTCAGATTAATTTGAACAAGGCGTAGAGCAACCGGGACGGAGATGTGGAAGGAATAATGAGAGTATAACTCACAATAAAGACTGAAAGGGAAAGTGAAATGCATGCAAATGTCAAATAATTACAAAGACAGCTGCATTTTGTATCACAAATTACTGATCTTTCTGCGTTGTTTGCTTCCCTTCCAGGGGTCCAGTTCCATGAGTCAGTTAATGGTTCAAAAGCTGGGGGCTCTCATGCACCTTCGACCCCTTTTAAAATCTCCCAGCCCGGGCCTGCAGAAGACTGCCATGTCTCTGCTGGGTAACATGTCTCGGACCAGCAGTTTGCAGACCTCCATGGGTGAGGAAAAGCGTGACATGTTGATGTTTTTTCGCAGGCAACAGATACATGAATGTTTATTGATTTTACTGTTTCCTTTGTCTTGTCTGCAGCAAAGCAGATCCTGCCTGACATCACCAGCCTCCTCTCCTCTACCCCTAAAGAGATGGGAAACTCCGACGACACCATAACATCAGCTTGCAACACAGCATGCAATCTGATGATTGCGGACAGTGAGGTCAGCAAGAAAGTCGTCGATCAAAGTCTGGTGTTAGCCATGGCCGACCTCAGCAAGAACGCGTGAGTTTTAATTGGTTCATAACTCAGCTAAATTCAGCTTTCATAGCTGTGACAAACTTCAATGGAGCTGTTGTGTTTCATAGGTTTTTCACAAATAACTTGTTTACCTTAAACGGTTGTTTCACCCATATTTTAACATTTTCACTAACCATTTATTCAGTATATTTGCCCATATTTTCACTTCTGACTGACTTTTATGCCTCCACCCTTATACAATGACAATGAACGGAACATTTTGAGTGTTGCTCAAAGCACTAAAAAATACTAAAACCAGAGCACACCTCTTTCCAGAGAAAGAAATGATGTTACTCTGCCAACAGTTTACCTGGAACTACTTTCTACCAAATCATTTTTCTCAAACTCTTACCAGCATATTCTGTGGATATGTAATGTATTATGTTAAGAAAAGATAAGATGGAACTTTATTATCCAACAACAGGATCAGAGTGAAAAACAGGATTCACACAAGGTAAACAATAATGATAAAATAGAATAAGAAATGTAAATAATAATACAAAAATAAAGTGATAAAGTAACTGTTGAAACAACATATCACAGTAAAACGTTGAGCATTTGAATGGACATATATACATATTTGGATTGTTTGGATATATTTACATAAGTGTGCGGATGTGGGTGCAGGTTAAAGTTTTGTAAAAACACTGCAGGTTTTATGTATGTACAGTCCTAGATACTTACGGGTTACAGGGTTTAGCCCTTGAAGGACTGTCCGAGGCACTTAGCGCTGTGCCGAGGAGGGACAGTACACAGTAAACAATGATTTCCATGTTTGTTGGTGAGTTAGATATCAAGATATATTTTTTGTAGTACCATCTTGCTGTTGCTATTGCTGTTTATCAACAAAAGGTCAAATTATTTCAAAAAGATGTATGCCTGAAATGCCTTATTTTCCTTAAGATTCCTTCCTTTGCTGCTTTTCCCTACTGATCTCTGCCTTTCTGTCCTAGGTCTTTCCCAAAAGGCAGCAGAGCCGCTTCGATGTTGCTCCACACCTTATGGAGCGATAAGAATTTGCAAGGTGTCGTGAAAAAGGTAATTCAATAAGAACTGAAATGCATGTGTTACTGACATTCTATGGCAAACACAACACAAACCTTTTGTATCAGTGCATCAGGGTAAAGCTTAGCACATGCACACACTGCCTAACACAGGCAAAAGGGAGGGGCCAGTTGAAACTGGTGGGTGTTTGTTATTACTCCTCTGGCGCACACACTCACTTTCCCTTCCCATCAGCCACACCCAAAAGCTCAGTGAACACAGAAACAGTTCACTCTGGAATCCTGGTCGACTAGTTTTGGATAATGGAAGAAAGATAAAAAAAGAGGTTGTGACATCAAGAATGAAACGAGTGAAGGACAGACAGAACGCATTAAAGATATTTAGCAAGTTTGTCTATGACTTGAGCAAAAGTGCTTAAACTGTAGCTTATACGTGCCGAAAATCAAGAAACAACATAAATAATGACGAGAGGTTAAACACTACCATCATTAGCTCCCCTAAGTTACTGACATTGAACATTTTATTTGAAGTAGAGCAAGGGTGTGTGTGTGTGTGTGTGCTTGCCTGTGAGACGTTCTTACTGATTTCTTCTGTATGTTTTGATCCACAGCTGGGGCTGGACAAATCACTTTTTGTCAATGACTACATCACTTCAGTGCAGAAGTCCATGCAGCTCTCTGAGTGAGTGACAGAAGAGCAGAACAGCACCACAGAGCTCGAGAGGTTTGATTTCTTCGAAGTACTTGCATCTGCATGTATTCAGATTTAAAGGGTTTGTCGGCCGAAATGAGCTGAATTTGTGTCATGAGGTTTAAAAAAAAAAATTCTCTGCTCCTCTTTTCCTGTATTTACTCCTGTGTGTGTGCTCGCAGATGAAAAGCATGTTTAGACACTGTGTGGCCACACCCTTGTAACAAGGAGAGTCAATTACATTAATCACATAACAAACTTGTTGAAAGAGCCTTTCAATTTCATACATTGTACATACAGCTAAAAAAACACAGCTTTTAATTCCTGGATAATTGGTGTGTTGCGTATTTAATGTGCATATGTTTCTGTCTGTGTAAATAAAGGGTGAGTGTGTGATTTGTAGGTGAAGAGTGCATGGCTGCAGAAAACCAGTTCCTCCGGCTGAGAGCTGCAGTACACCAGACAATGTTATCTGCAGTGAGAGTTACTAAAGCCATGCAGAGATTAGCTGAATGCCATTGTTGTCCGTCTGCAGTTAAAATGTTCTTATCCTTATCTTTTGCGGCCTCAAGGACTGAGCAGCCGAAAAATAGAAAGTAATAAGAAGAATATACGAAAAGCTGAATTGAAAAATACTTTCTGTATTTGGATACTGTGGCACCCACATCAAATCTTGTACATTCAACTCAATGTTTTTGTTAACTTGTTTCTGTTTCATTATTTTTTAAACAAAAACAAAATGGAAACAGCTTTCAACTAAAGTGCCTGAAAAATGTAAGGAATAGTTTCCTTTTTTTAGAAATGTACTTGTTTGCTTTCTCGCCAAGAGTCAATAATAAGATCGATACCTCTCTCATGTTTGTGATTTGAGCTTAGCACAATAGCTATCCGATTCCTTGAAATAGCTATCCTGCCTCTGTCCAAAAGTAACAAAATGTCACACAAGCAACTCTAAGGCCCCGGCTCCACGGGAACGCATACGGCAAAACGCATCGGAGTAACGCAAACGCAACCGCAAAAAAGCTTCCGTCCCCACGCAATATACACCGGATTGTGTCAAGCTCCACGAGACGGCTCCGTTTACATCCAACCTGCTCCAAAAGCTGCAGTACATATGCCGAACCTGTACATGGCGCTGTAACTTCCTCCACAAAAAGCAGCAACTTCCTCCACAAAAGCAGCGAAGAAGAATGGTTGTCATGGCTGCACTTCTGTTTATTCTCCGCGGTGGGGGCCGAGGGAACCGCGCAGAGTTTTTCGCCGGTCAACGTGTGTTAAAGTTTAAATCTTCATGCTTCCTCATGCAGCAGCTGATCCAGTAAGTAATCCCGACAGTAAAAATAAACATATTTATAACTAGTTTAGGTAGTTTGAGAGGTAATTAAAATAGCTAAGGGTGATGATCTGACTTGAAGTGTGTGTTTTGCTCCCGCTGCATCACAGCGGGAGGAGCTGCGTGTCTCCGTCCTGTCAGATTAGACTTCACTCGCGTTTATGTCCATATCGAGATAAAGATAAATAATCTGAATTCAGTGTGCAGTGTACTTTTGCGGGGGTGAGCAGCAGAGGTGGGGAGAGGCGGGGCTATTGCGTCGTCATTATCAGAAACGGATGACCGTATAGGCGACCCCACGGCCCCGTTGGACCCCCCAGAGCGCTCCGTTCCCAGATCTATCCACCTTTGGACCTGTTGTCGTTTGCAGGGTCTGTTTCTACGTTTCCGTTACGGCGTCGTTAAGCTTAAAGGGCTATACGCATGAGAAATATGCGGATTCAACCAGTTTTCGTTCCCGTGGAGCCTAGGCCTAAAGCTCACTCATCGACATGTTGTATCTTGTTTGTTTAATCTCTCAGGGTTTATGAGCGCTGTAAATCTACAATCTGTGATTTTACACAGTTTTCCGTGTGGATTTTACGAACAAGATATAAAGAGTTGTGGAAATATGTTACCTTTGCGCTAAATTAGCAGCCTCTGTGCTAATCTAAATTAGCAGCCTCTGTGCTAATCTAAGTTAGCAGCCGCTCCTGGCACTAGCTTCATATTTATTTGAGAGGGGTACCAATCATATCTAACTCTTAACGAGGAAGCATATAAATATAATTATGAACTCATAAATCTCAAAAATAACTATTACTTTACATTGCAGTACTAAATCTAAACACCTTGTTCTTTTGCTTTGTCATTAGTTTTTTTGTGTTTGTTTTTTATAACTGTGTTTTTCTTGTTTAAAGTGAGGAATTGGAGTTCTCTAGCTTCTATAGTCTTAGTTATGTTCACGAATAACATACAAGGAATTTATTTTTAAGATATAACATATTACAAAATGTTAAGAAATACTAAGTGTTATAAATCTGTTGGATTAGAATGATATATATGAACTAGTATAGATGTAAACATTTAAATAGTATTTGTTAAAGTATGAAGCCTTCTGTTAAAACATATTTTGTATATGATGATGATGATGATGATAATACATGAATCTGAAACTGTTCATGGAGTGCCACAGACCCAACATGTAACCCCATCATTATTCCCACTCGGTTATCCCCCTGAAAACCCTTTGGGGTCTAGTTTAATAATTATCAACAGATAGCATAGCTCGACACATCAAGAGTCTTTAAAGTGTGATTCAACAGAAGTCTCTAGGGAGATAATAACGTAGGTCTAGTGAATAATGATCTGTCTACACCCCCTCAGGCAGGGGAAGTTGCACAAAACATATTTATATTATTATTATTTAAAAAAACATTCATCTTCATCTAAAACTGTCCTATGTAAGGTTTGCTACTTAGGCTAAACACTCTTAAAGGATTATTCCTCTTCTCATAACTCAAATACAAAAGACAGAATATTTCTTTCCTGGAAACCGGTTTTAAATCCTATAACAGACCCAGCTCAACAAATGTCTGAAGCAAAGATAATAGATAGCCTAACTCTTTGGGGATTCCCAATGACTCCAACAACACACTGCAGTGAACTGTTTTTGAGCTTTAGTTGTAAAGTCCTGCTGAGGTTCCTTTGCCTCTGGGAAGATTGATTTCAGTATTTCGGGGCGGAGTGGCGCAGCGGGCTGTGCGTTTGATCATCAGATCAGTTGGGGAACTCCAGTTCGAAACCCGCTCCCGCCGCCGCTGCGTCTGTAAAGCCGTTGTGTCCTTGGGCAAGACACTTCACCTGAATTTGCTCCTGTGGTTATTGTCCACAGTACATGACCGTTACATGTATGTGTAATGTGTATCTGTAAAGCGCTTTGGGTCATGGAAAAAGCGCTATAATAAATATAAGGAATTATTATTATTAGTATTGCTTAGAATGTGTTTTGTAATAAGTAAGAAATGTGTGTGTGGCTTATAATTCGGAGCTTCTGCTGTCGCTCAGTCTGTACAGAGAATAAATTCCACATATGAAAAACAACATTGTAAGTTGTGTTTTTTTCTTCAACAACCAAATTCAAGTAATTGAATATGCTAACAAAAGGTTTGTATTATGTGCAGCCGATGTGAGCACTTTTGGAATAAACCTCATTGTCTATATTTTCTTAAAGGTATATAAGAGGGTATCTAAAGTTATTCATCCCGAGGGACATTTCTTTGCAGCAGTTACAAAGTAGGATGTCTTGAAGATCTCTTGAACTGATTAAGCTTCCAGTTCTTGTTGCAGCAGGGTTTGTGTGGTCTGTGTGTGCATGCCGTTCTCTGACTAAGAGGAGAACTATGACAACAAAAGTTGACCACAGCAACTAGGTTTAATTCATTGACATTAAAACTCAACCAACAAATTCATAAATAGAATTACTTACGCTTTTTATACATGTTGTAACTTTTCCCGCATATTTGGTGCTACATCAGATCCACCCCAATGACTAAATTGATATTTTGTTTTGCAACTATGTGCCAATGTCCCGCTCAAAACAAAGATTGTGAAACAAGAATTGACTTCACTTTAAGATCAGTTAGAAAGCAGTTGAAGGAGGAATATCATTTTTCATATGATGGTTTTTCCCACTGGGATTAAAGCTGAATGAAATATGATTCATTCTATTCCAGCTTTGTGTGTGTTGGGTGGAGGTCTGGGCGTTAGCCGGAGGAGCATCATGACAGTCATGTCAGAACCTGTCTTTGAGTAGGAAGGTGTTTCTCGTTGTTTTTGCTCTAGGCTTTCTGCATTCACGTCTTGAATACACGTTTTTTAGACTTCAGAGTTCCAGGACACTCCTGCACCTGAGCTACAAAAGTCTGAAAGACAAGAAAGCCGTTGATTGAAATAAGAATTTATTTACACCCTTAAACACAGGGGATTCAATGGATGGTGTAGGAGCCATTTTATGGGTATAGTTGGCATGTCACAACGAAATTGCCATTACAAATGGTAATAGGAGGAAAACCACGGGGGATGGAAAATGGATATAATGAGTGTTGTCGGTGATGGTATTGTGGGACCAGGTGGTACTATAGGTGTGCCAGGAAAGCCAGGGCTTGGTTTGAAGCAGTGGCTGCTGGGCGAGACTTATGGTTAGGGCCCACACTGCTCACTCAGCATGTCTGCAGTTATTTCCTCAGGCCTCTTTTGGTCCTCTTGGATCTGTTGAAAACAAGGAACGGTCACAGGGGATAAAGTCAAACATGTTTGCCCACAAAAATCAATGAGAGTGGACAATTACAGAAGCTAACATTTTAAGGTTGCAAAATCCTCTACCATTCGAAAAATAAGCAGTCAGCAAATTCTGTGACAGGAGTGTCATCTGACTGGCCTGCCACACCCAGCCATACAGCCAGCTCGCCCAGTTTGAGTGAGTAACATGGCCTCTGGGGGCCCCTGAGAGCTGGGCGGAGGCAGGGAGGGGAAAGGGTGGGGTGCTTCAAAATACCATCTTATTTAGTGATAAACAGCTGCTACATAGCCAACTTAAACAAAAAAAAGTGTTGCATGCTGTGATCAGTGGGTCAAATTATAGCTTAACGTTGACAACTGCTATGCCTTTGTTATTTTGTTTGTCATTCTGCAGCATGACCTCAGGGCCCCCGCCTGTCTACTTGGAACTTATATATTAAATATATAATAACATAATTACTTCTCCCCTGTCTATTATGGCTGCCTTTTGATCCCAATGCAACTTGTGGCCCTTTGTAACAACTACAGTATAAACAGTTTTTAATTCAGTAAGAAGTACAAACTACTTATTTTCCCGCCATAATTCTAACCTGGAAGGGGAACCCCACCTATTTTAAGTACAAAATGTAGATTATTTGTCAAAGGAAATAATACTCAAGGACAGACATTTTGAGGGAGGTTTTTGCTCCGGTTTAAACTGAGCAGGCATCCATGAGTGTCGTACATCTCTGTGAAAAGTGTTAGTGGCATAAAGAAATAAAAACAGGTTCATTCTCACGTTTTCTGATGGTCGCTGACGCGGTTCCTCAGCACATTAATCTGCAGCAAAGAAAACATTACTCAGAGGATGTCTATTATATCACGTGCCTTACTTCAACAATGTGTGTAGTGTTCTGTTGTACACACCTCATATTTCTGACTAGTTAACTGGTACTGCAGTTCAAACTTCTCAGCCTCCAGCTCGTTCATCCACTCCCACAGCGCTTGAGCTTTCGCCCTGGGACACACAGATCGAAAAATATTACAGTATGATTGTTAAGAGTTTATTTTTATTGTGAAATAATCTCCCTACTTTGTGTTTGTTGAGGTTAATTGAGACAATATTTTTCCACCTACTTGAGTCCGTCCTGGCTCATGTGCTCGATGTCCAGACCTTTGCGTCTGTCACTCAGGATCTTCTTCTTCTTCTCTCTCTCAGTCTGCCTCTTACCACTCCGCTTTTCTGTCTGTGGGGAAGTGAAATACAATTTGATTCTGGAGTAATATCCTTCACATGTTAACTAGTTTTACCTCCTATAGTAACCCTCTGACTGCTCACCAACTTCTGCATGTAACCTCCAAAATGGAGGCTGGTGAGTGTTTTCTTCTTTTTAGCCTCATCATCTGCTCTCCTCTTGGCCTCCTCATCCTCCTTACGAGTTCTCTCATCCTAAAGCAAACAGAGAAAATGAGGACCAGGTTTGAAATGTTAGGAGGTGGTTCATTGAGTGCATTCAGGAAGTATATGTTACATTGCTGCAGTTTGAAAATGACTTTACCTCAAGACGTTTCTGTCGTTCTTTTTCTCTCTCACTGCGGATTCTATGCTGCTCAGCGCGCTCAGAACGACGCTTCTCCTGCACAACAGATCAGCATCTTAGCATATCTTAAAGCTGACTTAAATGTCCTCTGTGTGAATACGTTTAAATATGATTTCATATCGCTTAACGCTCTTACAATCCTATCTGTGAGATGAATGAGCTCCTCTTCTTCCTTCTTCCTGCTCTCAAAGTGAACCACAATCAAAGTCTGAAGCTCCATCAGGTCTTTCTCCATCCTTTTACGATGTATATCCTACAGAAAAAGCGGGTTAGTGCTTCTTGTGCTTAATGGTATGAGTCTTTGTTCATTGGTTTGCATCATTAAACAGAAATCGGCTCTGTAAGTCCACCACTCACGTCAAAATCCACCTTCTCTCCATCTGGGATCTTAGGAGGGATGAGGTTGGGCATGATAAATGGCCTGCAGAATTAAAAAAGAAGAAAAACAGACATGTGAGGACAGTAAGTGAAGAACACAGAAGGAAAGAAGGGACTCAATGTGAAGAAAAACGAAACTGAAATATATCATCTGTCGCTGTCATCGTGCATGTCAAATGAGAATAAATTGCTCTAAATCAAACATGCCCACAAAATGTCCCTTTGATTCATGCGTGTCTGTTCATGCTGAAAATGTATGAAGTTGGTTCATCACATCAATATGTTTTTCCATTAGAATAGATTTCCATTTTATTGCACAATTGTCCACAAATGTTTAACCAACCATGATAATGTAAGGTGACATTTTGACTTATGCATTCATAACTTTATTTAATGTCATTTCAATACGATATGTCATTATGAGCCTCAGTAATGTCAAAACATATTTATAATACAATGTGAACTTTTTGTATTATTATGAGATTTTAGGACTACCGTGGTGCTTCCCATAATGCTTTGGGGGATGTAAACAGGAAGTGTATTGGGCATAAGCATGAGGCACGTTTTTTGAGCCTGAAGGATTTGTAAACATGATGCAAAATGGCACCATTAAAGTATGCCAAATTACGCATTAGCAGCTTATCACTGGATTAGTTTGGTGCAAAAGCAACTTCTAAACAACGCGGTGATTTTCAAGAAACTCTGGAGCAATAAGGAGCGTGTTTTTTCTGACTTCTAGGAAGTTTGAAGGATGGACATTGGACATACTGATATCCGTGCAACGTCACACAAAGTCTGAAAATACACATTTCATGTTTGTTTGTTCGTATTTGACTAAGTTATGACTCCGAAGAAGAACGGTTTTAGGCCTGAATGCTGTTTAAAGTACCTTATTATATGCTAAGCTAAGCTAATCAGCTGCAGGCAGTGTGAAAGATGACCACAGATATGAGTTCAGTTAAGTTGCCTAGATTTAACTTCTTAATGGGTATTTGGTTTCTTTCTATTTGGTATTTCTATAACTCTACTGTTGTGTGTGTGTGTGTGTGTGTGTGTGTGTGTGTGTGTGTGTGTGTGTGTGTGTGTGTGTGTGTGTGTGTGTGTGTGTGTGTGTGTGTGTGTGTGTGTGTGTGTGTGTGTGTGTGTGTGTGTGTGTGTGTGTGTGTGTGTGTACATCAGGGAGTGTACTCACTTAAATTTCGGTTTGGCCTCCTCTGTTTAGAAAGAAAATAAGAAGTGTGAGACAAAAAACCAATGGGCTAGTCCAGACCACACACACTCAGCAAAACATTCCATAAACCTAGCAGGAAACACCAGCACGTAATGACAATGGAGCCTGTGTGTTCACTAAGTTAAGCAGATAATGTATCTCAGGCTATCTCTTTTACCATCCAGGCTGACTATATCCAAGAAAAACAGGGTAACATTTCCTGCCAACATTAATTTGATGTAATTTAGATCAACAGTGTTACCTTCTCCGTCCTCTGCTTCCTCTTCTCCATCTGTAACCAAAATAAGATACTTGAGAGGCTTGTGTGAGTTTGTCAGTGTGTGTCAAATAAGTGAGTGATGACTGACACACACACAACTATATCTCATAGAACAGATCATAAAATATGACATATCAAAATAGAGCACAGATGGCATCAGGTACAGTATTCTTATCTGTGTTGGTGGGTGTGGCAGAAGTAAAGTGTTGCAAGTATCACAAATCATAATTATCAACGTGCCAGACAGGTTGTCTGGATTACTGTGAGATCACTCGCCAAAGAAGGAAAGGCATTTGTGACCTCTGAATAACACTCCACCAAACATTGTGAGCAAAGGCAGTAAAGGTTAGGCTGAAAGGATAGTTTTGTAGCTATTTGTTCATAAACCAAAGCATTGGACACATTGAACATTTGACCTTGTGTTTTTGTCAGTTACTATTTTTCCCCGTCAGGAACCCATGAATCGGTTCTAAATGCTGTGCTCATTAGGCTAGAAGATGTTTATATTAATTTAAGTGAAAACTGTGTCCTGCTGATGGGACTCAAGTAGTCGTTTTTGTCCCATAGGCACACCAAAGTATGTGCCATGCCTTATCTCGCTATATGTCTGTAAACGTTGTTGTATATTTACAAATGCCAACAAACAAGCAACTATATCAATTATAACATGTTTGATAACAAAATAATTAATATATTTGCCTATTTACATCAAGCAGAAGTTCACCCATTTAAAGCAGACAGGAGAAAAGGATGTAAAATGAGGTTTGGTAAGTGTGCAGCAGACTCAGACAGAGCACAAGATCAGGCAGGCCACAGCCGCCGTGTGGCGAGACCAACAGATGTGGGAGAGGGGAGTGGAAACGCCAAAACTGCAAGCACCAGGAGTGTGACCTTAAAAACATTTAAGACTTAATTCATAACTTTTTCTATATGTGTGGGTTTCTCTAATTCCACATCACACAGTTTAGGAACCACTGAGATAAAGGAAAAGTCTTTAGGACTCACCCTCAGGTCAAATCATGCGGACACTAACTATTTCTGAGATACAAAAAGTCCTCTTCCCAAGATTCAAATTCTTAATTGTCATATGTGCAATATCTACAGTGTAGTTTATTTAATGAAATGTAGTTTTGGGATTAACAATCCTAAGTGTCAGGCTCCATCAACCATGTGACATATAATAACAAATCAGGTGACATGTGCTTAGGGCATTTGTCTCAATGTTATTTGAGTGAACAGAGCAACAAACTGTTGAAATGTGTTATCTGTGAATTTACAAACACCTTCCTGACACAAAGAGGGGATGGAATGATGACTTTGAATTAGACTAACATTTCTCCTACTTCTAATTATTGACAACAAGAGAGAAACGCCTGAACATTTTTGATTTAGAAAACACGGAACTCTGAATAATAAGCAGAGCCTTAGGGCTGGGCGGGAGGGGGTGGTTCGTGGAATTACTTTCACCGAGTGGCGAAATGTTGTGACACAGAGAGGAGGAACACATGAAGATTTTGAAGTCACTGAATACCGTCACATACCAAAGTGAAGTGAGACTGAACATTTTCCCGCCCGTCTCTGAGTGATTGTTAGACAGATTAATCATCGTTGCTTTGTTCCAACTTCACACTGAGATGTCATCTTGCTGCGTACGCACTGGCAAATTACCAACAGTGTCGACACGTCTGCACTGACAACATGTGTTCCCCTCCGAACCCTCACCTTGCTCTTCATCGCCCTCTTCCTCTGCAGCAGGCTCGTCCTCCTCCTGCACGGTCTCTGCCATTGTACGGGAAAATAATAACATGTCGGTTAGAAATCTTCACACTCACTGGGTGTGATATTGACTCATTGCCTTACTGGAACCATAACTCTCCCTTGTCAATGACTTGTTATTTGTCACAAGTTTAGTGAAATGAATCAAATGAGGGCAGAGCTACTAAATCATAATTCAATTAGATTTTTTCTCCTACTCCTGCTATTACAGCTGCTTGTTTGCACTCGTCCGGGTTGTGTCCCCCCCACATTATTGTAATTTGGTGTTTGGATTGGATTGTACCAGAGTGGAAAGCTTGCCAGCAGATAACAGGGGATTAGTTCAGAATGACCCACCTCTGGAATTTAAAGCAGACGGCACTCAAGAGCTGGTGAAGTTAAAGTCAAATATAAAACCTTATCAGGTGACACATGCGGAAATATCTCCATCACTGGCGGCACAATGAGACTGACTTTGTGGACTCAGACAATGGTTTGTTTTGGCTTTTGACAATGCTAGTTGTAATCTACAGAGGATAAATCATGACGATTATTTATCATAAATAAATATGTAAATCCCTTAATATGCAAATAAATAAAGACATAGATATCTAAATAAATGTGACAACAAATGCAGAATAGAACTAAATTACTAAACGTCTAAACTGTGTTTTTTATTCTCTGTAGCCTACATTTACATGTATATATTTTTGTGTTTCTTTGATTAGACTTTTATAATTGTCTGTGTATTTATGTTTAAGAAGTTTTATTTATTGATTAATAAGTCATGTTTTTTTCCTCCACCCCCTACCAGAGTCCACACTTGCCAAATGTAAAAGGGATATTGTTCAGTATTACATCTCACTACCTGTATTGGTCTTGAGCTACGCAGGATAACTGATAGATTTGTATTATATTTTAAAACCAATTTAAAGGCTGTGCATGTGCGTAGAGAGCTCCATTAAACTACATGTGATGGCTTATATTTCAGATTTAAAGGGTGTTGTTAGAAGTAGAAAATCTCCTGCTACTCTGCAATGCTATGTCCACAAAATCAACCGTCATGTACAGTTGGAAAAGATGCTTTTAGCTCAAAGCACAAGCAGTACCTTCCTCCACCTCCTGATGTTCTGCCTCCACCTCCTCCACCTCCTCTTCCTCCACCTCTTCCTCCACCTCTTCTTCCACCTCCTCCTCTACCCCCTGCTCCCCTGCTGAGCAAAAGCACAGATCCGTTTAGTAAAGCCAGTCAGCTAGCAAAGCAGCCAGCAAAACCCAGAAAGAAAGAAATATAGAAAAAGCATTGAAACTCAAGCATGAATGATTTTGATGTAATAATCATTCAGGACTTTCAGTCACAGCCAGTGGTGGAAATTAATTAAGTGCATTTACTCTAGTACTTTACTGTCAACAAATGTCATAAAATAACCTCAACAAAGTAATCACAATCAAATGATATATTTCATCACAGCAACTGTTTTCTTTTTATAAATGACAACTTTTTTTTAAATTTCCGATTACCTTTACATACTTTTACTTACTTGTAAATGCTGGACTTTTACTTGTAACAGAGTATTTTTACTGTGTGCTATGATGACGTTTTTCCTAAGTAAAGCATCTGAATTCTCCAGCACTAGCGACAACAATGTCATTTTAACCACAGGACTGTTGATGTGTATCACTCCTGTTCTTCTGGTCATACTGAATCATAACCACAAATCATTCCTTGGTAAACTGATTAGCTTAAAAGTCCCATACCTTCAGCGGCTTCCTCTTCTGAATCACACACAGCCAGGAAAATACACAAGAGAGGGAAAATACAAATATAATGACATAGGGAGAAAGTAAAACATGTTACACACAATCACAATTACTTATGGTTCTACTTATTACAATCAATGGAGGTTAGAGGAAGATACAATCATTACACAGACCCTGAGTAAATACCTTTTAACACTTGTTGATTTGCCAAAAAAAATCAACCTATGCAATCTTTGGCTCAACAAGAAAGTCTTATTGCACAATCAGGTTCCTAAATCAAACTCACTGGATACCTAAAGAAAACATCTATCAAAACGACACAGCTTTAGTTGAAACAGTATATCACATCTCTCAGTGCTGCTATATGACTGCATGTGATAAGTCATGAGTACTCACCATCCACCACCCTGTGGAAAATAGACACATACATAATTTTTTATTCTGTGAGAAACTCATCCGTCATCATCACATTACAGCAACATACAGCTGTCATTTCAATAACTGTAACGAAAACTCCATGCCTTTCCATGCAAGGTATGTTGTGTAACAGGGTGTGTCCTTTTACAGTTACACATGACACATGTACGGTTCGTTCATGCAGAAACATTACACGTGTTTAATTGAGCTTTTTTATGATTATTAGAAATTAAAACAACCTACTCCTCATACTCCTCCACCGCTTCCTCGTTGTCAGACATGACAGGGAGCGCTCAGGTGGGCAGAAGTGAATCTGAACGTTAAACAGAATCCATCAATGAACCTAGAATAATTTCTCAGCTTTAAATCAACATTTTATGAGAGAAATACCGAGCTAAACTTACCTGAGTAAGAGCAATGCAGAAAGGGATCTGATGGAGAGGTTTAATGTGCAGCAGGGATGTGGCTGCCCTCTCTAATGAGAATGTGGGGTGACTATCGGAGGGTAAAGGGACACACTGCGTGACGGGGAAGAGGCTTTAGGACCCCTTGTTGTGTTATTAATAACCTTTTAGATAGCATGTACTCTCCTTTATCATCATTCCCTAAAAAGGCCACTGTGTGAGTGTGCAGTGCCAAAAAGATCCAGATAAAGCCACAGTTGCCCGCAGACAATGACCCACAAACCACACAAACACATTCTGTCACCCATGTAAGGCAACCTGCCACTGACAAAACACAGGCGTCGCACTCTTATCTACACCCTCCCTCCTGTCAGATAAGTGATGTTACAGAGTAAATATGCATCTAACACTAGAAAGTGTTTCAGTGTTGTATGAGTGAGCAATTCAAATACATGTATGACAGACATTTGTGGTAATAAAATATTTTATTTCTTAGACATATTGCCCTCAATGAAACAAAACAAAATGTATATTATGGCAGATTTAACAAAAACATTCAATTTCAACTCCAGAATTCCCACGATTCAGTAAAAAGTATAGCTGTCATTAGCCTTAAGACCTTCACCGTTTTAAAGTGCTAGAACAATTACACAAAGTAAGTTAGGCAAATAGCTGAAGAGTTTTAAAACACATGTATCACTTTTCTTCGCCTCTCTTTACAGTATACTCTTCCTCACACATTAAGTATTTTCAGTGTTTGACACATTTGTAGTTCAAGAAGCGATGCAGATGTGTATGATTGTAAAGCCTCCTTAATTTAAAAGCAGTATTCTATTGAAATAAAAGAATCAGTCAGTCATGGCATCCAATAATCTTCCAGTGCTTATCGTCTCCTCTCTCCTTACTCCAAACAGCAGGCACAAACAGGGAAGAAATATTGTTAAATAAACACATTTCATGTCATATTTGAATATATTGCTATGGAAAAGCGCAGTTTGGGGCCGTCAACGTGCCTGCCGACCATAATAAAAGGACAGCCTTCACTTGTAGATTTTTCCAGGCTGGGCACTGTCCTCCTCTCTCTTCTCAAACAGGCTCCTCTTACTGGTGATGTCTACATTTCTCAAGTCCTACAAATAGAAAATGAAAAGCTTATTTCAACAACACAAAGCCCTCGATAAACAGGCAGAAAAGACAAAACATAAACTCTCTGAATATACCGTATATATACACATACTGATATTTGTTAGATTTGTTTTTCTATAAAGAAGTATAAACCAGTAAATCTGCATATACAAAACAAAATAATACAAGTCTATCTTATATATTTAAATCTAAATCCTTCTGTAATTATACATTCTAAGCCTATATTTAATGTTTGTTCTATTTAATTTCCCTTAAAACTTATGTTCATTTGCAAAAATTGTTTTAGGAATTGTTGTTACCCAAGTTTAATTTACACAGGGTATACAAAATAGGTTTTACCATGTGGTTATTTAATATGGACCATTTATTTATTCAAATACCAGAAAACATGCTTTACTGTGATAGACTTTGTTATTCACATATTGTACTGTAAACATCCCACAAATGGCCAACACAATAAATGAAAAGATAATGTTGCTTTCAGAATAAAACTGAGGTTGGCCATGCATTTAAAAATCATAAATAATTGTTATCGTATGGAGTTATCTGAAATTGTTTGGTCAGAGTTGACTAATATGGGGTTAGCAGCAGGAAGAATACAAATATACTGTATGAGGCATTCATTTTCCAGTAAAGCTGAAAGATTGCTACTGCCCTCTGGCTGCTACACTTGTGTAACTTCTTAAAAATCTTAGATACAGTGAGTGTTGAAATGGGGGGGAAACTTGGCAACAGACAAATGAAGCTCAGCGCAAGTTCAACCAGGAAGACCGTCTTTACTCATTCACGTATCTCTATTCCCATGTTACTACTCTCTCTCCTCTCAATAAGTGACCGGGGGCGTCACTCTTCAGTTTAACCAATCACTTCGCTCTATTCCCAAGAGCCTATCATAGCGTTCTGTCAAACCTTTTAAGTCTGCTCTTCCCCCTCTGACAGCTGTCATTTCAGGTGACTCTACGCAACCCTCCTCCACCCCTTTTCACCTCCTGTCCCTCTGAATCCAGGGTCAAGCTAAACCACTCCTCTTCAGACCGACCCAACTATCCATTCACCACCACCAGTGTCTAGACCCCAGGGGGGTTTCATCGGATCGGTTCTACCTTCCCGAATGATACTTCCTGCACAACGGGGCCTAATCGCCAAAATTAACATTGCATTCATTTGTGCATCTGCGCAATAAATATGTATTATTACATCAAAACCATCTCTCCTGATTGAACACGTATTGGCCGCCAGCTCTAAACACTGAAATATCTGGCGGCCCTTCAGGTGGATAACCGGACAAAACGCAAGTTTACTAGTAATGGTCTTACTGTGGGATTGTGTGAAGACCCGGTGTTGTTGGTCTTGGTGAGCCAGCTGGAGATCCGGTCTGACATTCCAGATTTGAAGCTCCTAAATTCCTGTGAATTTCCGACAGAGATGGAAAACAATCAGAAGCCATACCTGCTAATGATCTCAGTGCACTGCTGGGACACTTGGATCTGATGAGTGATTGTGAGGAATGGCTGTACCTGTCTGGAGACCCCGGGGCTGGGGGGGCCCGCTCCCTGCTGCTCCTTCTCAAAGAGACCCCTCTTCCTGGACACCTCGTCCAGCAGGAACAGAGTCCTCTGGGTGACGTCTGGAGAACGAGTCACTTCTCCCTTCTACGCACATATAGAGTTTTTACAAAATCAGCGTTCAGAGTAAGAAAATGACGGTTAGTTGTTTAGTTTCTGGAGTTGAATAATTGTGTTTTGTTGCAGAGAGTCTCACCTGTGCAGCCTGGGCCAGTCTCTCCATCTTCTCCTGGATGGACCTGGAAGAAATTCTCTGCTTGGAGCTGGATAAAATGAGAGCACATTGAACAAGTCACGCTGTGTACTTTTACTAAAATAACAATAATTCAAACTTTAGGCAGAAGTAAAAAACAAATATTATAATTAAATAATACAAACTCACTTTCTCTGGAAAGATGATGCTTTGTCTTCATCTTCATGTTGGTCCTGGTCCTTGATAATTAACATTAAAAACACTTTCAATCACATTTTGTCAAAGGTTGAAAAACTTGTTGATGCACTAATCAGCATCTCTGATCTATAAGCCCAGCCAATATAGATGGAATACCTTAAGATACCATACCGAAAATAATATAGCACAGTGATAAATATTACCTTTTACAGATATGCAGTTTTGTGGAATTTTTTAGTACATCACAAACAAATAATATCATTAAATGAAAGTCTTACTGTGTTTGATTCAAACTTCTCGGAGGCCATCCTCACACTTGCACTACAACAAAATAAAGCAATCAGCGATCAAACTGATGTAGACTTAACACAAAGTCACTCAAAAGATAATCACAAGGATGGTTCCTTACCTCCTCCGCAGCGGTGCACTCTCCTCTTCCTTCTTCTTCATCATCTGTAGAGCACCAGAGTGTATGAGTTTGTTAGCTAGTAGTCCTTACAGTCGTCCAAACATCAGCAGCTAATGACCAGCACATCCCGTCTCTCGTGATGAGTTAAGGTGTTAACAAAGCACCGCGTCAGCAGTAATAGCTTCTCAATATTGCTCCAGCTATTAGCATAACCCTGAACCTCGAGAGCCACAAGCAAATTACCTTGAGCTGATAGTCGAACAGCTGATGCGAGATTAAATCGTGTTTTAACAGTCAAATAGGCAAAAGTGAATGTTGGCATTCAGCAGGGAGAATGTGTGTGTGTTGGATGTGTGTGTGTTGGATGTGTGTGTGTTGGGTGTGTGTGTGTTGGGATGTGTGTGTGTTGGGTGTGTGTGTTGGATGTGTGTGTGTTGGATGTGTTTACCCTGAAAGATATAGTCCTGGAGCTCTGTCTGACAAACGCTGGTTTGGACGTCTGTTCGAAGTTGCCGTTGGAAGGAGAGCCATTCACAGTGGTCTGAGTTAAAGTAAAGAAAAAAACTGTACTTCCCCATATGATCAGATATCATTATTTGGAATTTAAAAAAATACAATGAGCATGTGTTCTTTTATTCAAGGAGGTAGATCCAACTATAGAGCCAATTTGTTCTCATCTACTTAAAGACTGTACATTTTACCCTTAACACCAGAGGGTGCTGCTGCTTTATGAGCAATGGTGTAAGCAATTAGCAGCCAAACTCATGATGGAAGCAAAACATGAAGCCTAGGTTTATTATTTCATTGTGTGTTAAAATACCTCCTGTGTGTGTCCATTCTGAACAGGGCTCTGAGCTCCCCCAGGAGAGGGGCTCTGGCAGGGAGACGGCCAGTGTTCTTGAGGCGAGAAGGGGGTTGTCGGAGAGCGAGGGCTCATGGGACTTGTGCACCCGCTGGCGGAGGAACCTTTGTCAAGTGAGATGGAGACAGAGCTGCAGCACCAGAAACACAGGTGGACTAAAGGTCAGTGAAAGATGTGGAAGCAGTTCCAAGTCACAGTACAGCTGAAGAGTATTAAAGTCCATAATGCACTCCATTCACCCTGAGACTCCATTTGAAATGTTGTTTTGTACGGTGTCTGTGTCTATCCTTGGAATAATAGAGGCTGACTTAAAACTCAATAAAAAATATGGTGTGGGGAATTGTTTAAGCCAATCAGAAAAACCAGATGTTCCAGGCTGCCTCAATGACTAGTTCCTTAAATGTCTTAGACAATATATATATAAGATTGCATTAAACATGTGATATTTATCTAGTAATATTCAGGAATATGTCATAATCCATATTCTATATTTACACCATATCTAGATAAATTAAGCCTGGTTTGAAAGCACATATGCTTGTCTTCATATGGTTGATATTTAAACAATAAACTCAGCAGTTTTAATCAATTTAATTTGGGGAATGTCTTGCCTTTGGTTGTGTTTTCAATGTTTACACCCTTCTCCTCTGCTGAACTTTAATTTCCGTGTCTGAAATCAATAACCTTTATCTTATCTTGAAATAATGTTTGATCTATATTTGATCCTTCCCGATGACTCATGTTGAATAAAAGAACATTAGACAGAAATGGTGCTTGTTAACCTGACAAACTTGCGAGCCCGGTCGGACGACGGCTTGGACGACGGCTTGGGATCGAGGTCTTTTCTCGGCGATTGTCCATTTTCGGGCTAACAAAGACAAGAAACAGGAAAGACGATCAACACGAGCGCTCAGCATTCAAGCTTTTGAACAGAGCCATCTGAGACACACCTTGCATGACATAACATTTTGCAGTTATGGCCTAATTTGCAGATGCCCTGAGTTAGAGCCGCCTGCCAGTGTAATAAAAGATAAAGCTGATAAATGACCTTAAGCACGCCTTATCAAAGTTTTATAGAGGATTTGCATGGTCACTTGATTCACAGGAAGAGTTTGAGCTCAGTACACCAACAATGTTTATAACTAACAAGTACTTATGACAAGTGTGTGAGCATTATACACTCTCTCTATGTCTAGCTTTGTTCACCTAAATAGCATTGCTGAGTCTCTTCATATTTACAGAACTTGATACATTAATATCTTTCCTTGGGGGGGAAGTTGTTTTTGTAGAATCTAGAAAATGATTAACATGACTCTCCCTCCGTGAGGGGTAACAGTTAACTGGGATTAAGCTCACTGCAGGGTGGCTCAAATGGCAGCACTGTGTTGTGACTGAGTGACAAATCAATAGTTTGGATTTGAGTGTTTATCTGTCAAAACCTGTCTGTCAGTGAAGCCACTTTCTTTTTATTGCTAGCAGCATGGCTCTTGGTGTACCAATGTTGATCTGTTGGTCCACTACTTTGCCTATATTGAAATATATTAATAGCAATGGAGGGATTGCCATAACATTTTGACCAGACATGGATGAACCCAAGAAGATGAATCCTAATGATGTTGGTGATTCCCTCTCCTTTCTTTAGCCCCACCAGCAGGTAAAGTATTCACTTATCCTGTTAAATATAAAAAAATGTACTGCCTAGATTAACACAAAATGTAGTACTGACATTTATGGTTTTCAGACGATGTTTCCTTTGGTAATACCATGATGTTTCATCTATAACCATAACCGGTTCAACATTTCAATTTGTTATATTCTTTGGTTTAGACCAAATACCTGCACAACTACTGACACCCCCTTCAGCCTCAGTATAGTATACTTGATGTTTTTATACTTATAATATTTATATTGACAATTAGTTAACATACTATACTAAGATATTGAACTTGCCATTAAACCTCCTTAACAGCAGCATATTAGCATTTAGCTCAAAGCACGGTGTGCCTCAGTACAGCCTCACAGAGCTGTAAGCATGGCTGTAGACTCTGAGTCGTGTTGTCATATAACTATGATAACCACATTTTAATTGAACTAAACTAAAGGTTAACAAATGACTCCGGTCTTACTTGTCTGTTAGTGCTGGTGCTGTTGGTGGGGCTGTAAGAGGCTGGCTTTTCGGGTGGTTGTGGTTTGGATGTGGCTTTCACAGGGGGCAACGCACTGCTCTGCTCCTCCTCCATGTCCCCCAGTAGCTCCACCCTGGCTTCTCCTCCGCAGGCCTCCCCTTCTTCCTCCCCTACCTCCTTCTGTCTTCTCAGCGTCTCCATATGTCTCATCCTCCTTCTTTCATCACGGGTACGCAGCATCTCCACAAAGTCTAGCTGTATCTGCTCGGCACTAAGAAGAAATAAGTAAAAGCACACACGTGAATGACAGATATATGATGGATTATCAGGAGGGTCAGGACTGTCCCTCGTGTGTCTGATCAGGTTTCTTTAATTAAGACACCCTGCAGCTCCTCTCACTTTGAAGGCTGCTTCAGGAACTCGGCTTGTGGTGTTTTTGATAGCTTTTCATACTTTCAAAGCTTGGTTTCAGGTTTCTTTGTTTGTTTGAAGAGTATACAGATGACACACTCCCATGGGGCAAAAGTGTCTCTCCTGAAATCCATCCACTAAAATTGCTTACCATCAAAATACATGGCCTATAACTAAACTATTAGCATCCCTATGGCCCTGTAACATACAATAACACTGAGGGACAAACCGAGAGAAGAGAAGAAGAGCAGAGCAAACACCGACCGCAAGAGTATCATTTTCAGGGACGAGTACAAATGAATAAAGGTCTTTAATAAATTGTTAAAATAACCTGCTGAGGCCCTGGGACATCTCACTGTTGGACACAAAGGTGCTGTCACTGGTGGGTGTGTCTTTGGTTGTTGGGCTGAGGTCATCACCAGGTTCGGTAACGCTGGAGCTCTTCACCCTCCTCCTCCTCTCCCTTTCCACCTCCTCCTCATCCTCCACCGTCCATTGCCGCGCCAGGCTGAAGAAAGTCATAATGCACATAGTAGACGCACATTATAATCAGGTAATGTGGACGTAAAACAGAAAATGAAACAGAGGTAGACAAGTACTAAATTATGTCCAAAATGAAAGCTATAATTAATCTCTTGACATTCATCCAATTAGCTGCTTGTTTTGGTTGATAGATAACAATAGATTACTGTTATAACGGTTACACAGAACCTGCTTTACTTGTTCATCAACTGTGTAAATGTTGGACTACAGTTGGTTGCTTGTCTGAACAACTTTAAATAGCCCATAAGGTCTAATGTTATGCAGGATGTGTGTAGTAAACACATCAGGTTAGTTAAGACACAGTGCAGAAGGGTAAGACGGTAGGCTACACATTTTCCAGTTATCTCTAGACTTTAACCTGAAAAAACAACAACTGTGACTTCATTCAAACTAAGAAAGTTAGAAGTGCCTATAGGCTACTAACAATGATAACAAAGGAGATAGGAAACCACTCACTGTTTCATAAAGCTTCCAAGGGAACACAACACATCTGAACAGATATAATAATATCCCTAGATGATTATTATAAACTAGGCCTATGTTTTGTCCTGAGTGATACTTTTCTGCTAGTTTAGTGACTAAAGTTAACCTCCATAACATATAAAGCAGCAGCTGCAGATGGAGCGCTTAACCAAAGGTGTCATATTCTCTTAAAACAACAGATAATCTTACCTGGACAAAGCCGACCAGTTCTTCCGACTGATGGACATATTGGACGAAAACAATAGTTTCCAGGCGCACTTCGCTCACTCAGGAAAGAGTCGACTGGCTGGCAGTGTGAGGGCGGCAGTCAGATTACAGTCAGAGTCGCACGAAACTGTCCACCTTTACCCCGGTGCAGGAGTCACGTGACCGCAAAGGTAAGCTATCCACCTGAAAGAGAGCGTGTGTGTGTGTGTGTGTGTGTGTGTGTGTGTGTGTGTGTGTGTGTGTGTGTGTGTGTGTGTGTGTGTGTGTATGTGTGTGTGTGTGTGTGTGTGTTATGCATATGACACTTGTTTATTTAATAGGCAATATCTGTATCTTTTGTAAAATGCTTTGGCAAAGACATGTTTTGTTAATGCCAATAAAGCTTTTTGAATTGAATTGCCGCTTTTACTGCATGGAGTGGCCGTTGCACGCTTTTGTGCTATTGCGATACATTTAAGCTAACAATACACAGTGATAATTAGCCTAATGGTAATGTAAATCAGTAGCCTATGGTTAAAAGACAATAACGTTTAAATAACTGAGAACAACACAAGGCTCAAATAAATACTTTAAATAGAAATAAAGATAAAAGAAAATAGCTTTTTTTTTGTAAGAAATGTCAACTGATGTGGTTGGTTCAAACTTTGCCTGTATGTTTGTACATGTGTAACTTTGCTTCGTGTCAAACTGTGCTGATGCTTTGTTGCAGTAAGTCTCTTTACAGTGTGAGTCAGACTGTTTGCTATGTGTGTGTGTGCGTGTGCGCGTGTGTGCGTGTTTGAGGCCACACCTGTCCTCAGAGCCCAGTCAGTGTTTCGGACTCTGACCTTTATACAGTCTATGACTGACCCAGGCTCGGCTCAGTCCAACACACACACACACACACACACACACACACACACACACACACACACACACACACACACACACACACACACACACACACACACACACACCCTCCACCTCCTCCTCCTCTGGCTTTATTACCAAACCTGCACCTGCTATATTATGTGTAGACCATATTAACACAATAAACAGGATGAGCTACAATCATAATTATAGATAACTTGTTGCTCTTGGTGGAATACAGATCCTTTGTTGGGGCTGCTTGGGCTAGTATGAGCCTGCTTCACTCCTCTTTGGAAAAGGCTTAAAGCTCGGAACATTAAAATGCTATCTGACGGGATTAGTTTACATGTCATCATGCATGCATCAATGCTGTCATTGTGTGTAGACTAAGGTGTGTGTTGCTGCAGTGCTCATATAGAGAAACAAATATTAAACGATACACGATTACTGCAGGCTCTTTGCATACAGCATGATAAGGCGATATGACTAAAGCACCATTATGGAAGCACTTTCCAGGATGTGCTTTACGATCATGCAAAACAGACAGCGGCTAAAGATGACTGTTCAACAGGTTGCTGGTGTGGACAGCTACAGAAACATCGGCAGAAATGTGCTGTCTCAAAGAAGTGCCTCAGAAGTAAATTTCTTGTGCACTGTGATCTGATGATAGTGCCATGAAAAGTCAGGGGATCTTCAAAGGAATTATAATTAATCTTAAGCGGACAAGGAGACTATCACCTTACAAGGGTGAAGATTCCCATAGTTGTATTTTATTAAGGAAGCCATTGTTCATTGTGCACACATTTACACAGGAATCTTTTTTTTTTACAGTTCATTAATCTATAGCCTTCGCTTACAGCTTTTCACCAAGCAAGATCATCAAAGCTGCAGGTTTATTTGGCCATTGTATTAATGGCTATAAAAAATGTTGACAATAGTATCCACATCTGCATCTAAAGATACAAGCAGCCTTTTTTAACTTACAAATATGCAGGAGATCTGGGAATGAACTAAGCTTTTAAATCTATGGGGTACAAGTTAAATACCAGTTATAAGAAAAATCACAAATAATTGCACATGGCAGATAGTTACATGTATTTTAACACCTTATTACTGAACATCAAACAGTTAAAGGTGGGGTAGGTAAGTTTGAGAAACCGGCTCGAGATACACTTTTTGTTATATTCCATGGAATGCTCTTAACATCCCGATAGCAATGAATATCTTAAGTGCTTTGACAAAAAATCCATAAAAAAATGTCATCTGTGGAAGCCGTGGCGCTGTAAAAAGCACGACCAATCATTTTAGCCGGCCTGGCTAAAGTAACTGGATGGCCTACCTGCCTGTCAGCCTTCCATCTGTGCACAAACTTATCTCGTGCCCTCATTGGTCATGTGCGCGTTCGTGTGTGTTGGAGGAGGGGCTCTGTAAGGAAGTGGCAGATTTTTTCCGGTTGTGTATTTTCAAATTCTAGCGCACTCGAGCTGGTTTCTCCAAAATTACCTACCCCACCTTTAAGGAAAGTGTGGAAAATCTTTCAGGGAGCATTCACTAAATAAGCATACACTAAATGAAAAGCATTAAAGAGAAATGCATAATCTGCAATATACTGGAAATATAATTGATTCAGATGACGTCTGGGTTCACTACGCAGGACCCTTAGCTGCATCAAACATCTTCTTCCTTCCCTCCATCCCTGACATGGCCTCCACATTCTTCCTCCAGTCGCTGTCCTCTACTGGCCTCTTCTGTAGACAGATTACATTAGATTGTTAGAGACTGTGAGTTAGAGCAGGGTCAGGAAATCTTCTCATCATTGTTGTGTCTAAACCTTTGAGGCCTATGTTGTCACCTGGAAATCCCCTGAGATTACTGTGGTAGTATAACTGGTTTACATCACCTAATTCACTCAGAGACACACATATCCATGCAGGCACACACACAGAAACACACCAGCACTGGGTAATCTGCACAAGTACACACACACACCCTGACCATGGAGCAGAACTGTTCCCAGAAGCTAGTCTTCTGTGCACAATGGCATCATTGTCTTGTGTACCGTACCTCCTCTCACACATGGTTGCCGCCCTGCACTGGCCTACTGCTCCGTATCTCAAACACACCCTTTACACACACATGAACACACTTTTAAGGTGTTCAATGGCACTTTCTGTGCTGACATCATGTGTATCAGAAACAGTAAGATGCCTTGTATGCTTGCCCAAAGAATGGTAAACATGTTGATTGCACTGGTTTGCTTGTTTGTGCCTGCATGAGTGTGTTTGGTCTTTTGTTTCCCTCTGCACACACCTTCTCAGTGTCCTCTTTCTTCACAGATTTGAGGTTGGCCCGGAGGTCCATGGAGACTTTGTGCTTAGAGCCCAGCAGCGAGCGAAGGATGGCGTCAGCAGACACCCGAACACGACGAAGACTAGGTCTCTTGAATTTCCCCCTGAGGTCCAAAACCTTGAGGTTCAGGTCTTTGATCTGAACCAAGAACACATAATTGAAAGGTAATTACAATTAGTACTTTAGGATTTTCACATGGTTACAGTTCTGCTGCATTATATGATCTTCACGTTTCCAGTTCTGCCCAAAGCACATGGAAATGTGCAGAAGAAGTGATGTGTACCTCCCGTTTGTTGAGCGTCACTTTGGCTTCAATGTCGTATCGCTCCTCATCCACCACATCTATTTTGGCATGGAGATCTCTGCAGAGTTCCTGTACTTATACACACATAAAACAACCAACGTTCAAAATATGTTTTATATGAAAGTGGCCACCACCGCAACCAGACAACAGTTTTAGTTGCAGGATATCATCTTTTTTTATGTGTATTGGTGTTTGAAGATCTGTAGAGGAAGCAGCATTGTAAGTGAATCAGTCTTTATCGGCTTTTACTGGATTTAAATGATGAAAGAGCCAGTGGAGGGAGTAAAGAATGAAAATGGATGTGGGAGGATTTGTGGAATTTGCTGACAAGTTACCTGTAGCTGTCCGAGGCTCAGGCCGCTGGTGTTCAGAGGAGGAGCTCTCTCTGACAGATAGTTCTGTTTCTCCTCCTCTTTGACAACAACTTCCTGTTCCAATTCCTCCTTGGCCTTTGCCACCATCAGACTCTGCACAAATAGGAATCAACATACAGTATGGTTCTGTCATACAGGTTCCTCTAACATTTCCCTGCTAAAGCACATCAGCACATCATGTTTTGAAACATTTAGGACTTTCAGCACAGACTCTGGATGTTCAGATTTATTTGTTACATTCGAAAATTGCAACTGAAAATATGACCTCTGCTGCTCCCCTGTGGTCAAACACATGTATTACTTGATCTCTGATCCCTCTTACCTTGAGCATCAACTTCCTTGAAGCGGAGATCTTCGGCTTCCTCTAGATGGAGGGTATTTCAGGACATTGCAAATTAAAATGTTAAATATTCACTTGCAGCTTCAAATGTCATTAACTGAATTGTTTCTAGTAGTTTTAGCATTCAGAAATACTTAGATAGTTGGTGATACAACTGGTCTTACCTCTTGCCTGTAAAAGAAAATTGGAAAATAATTAAAGTGAAAGTTAAAACCAAAGATGAATCCTTAACCAAGCTCAGAAATATTTGTTTTGTAATTGTGTCTAAAATAAGACCATAAAGCCTGATTACTCACACGTGCTCAGGCATCCTGCTGATGAGATCTCACTGAAGGGGAGACAGATGAGATTAGAACACACACACACACACACACACACACACACACACACCACACACACACACACACACACACACACACACACACACACAAACACACACACACACACACACACACACACACACACACACCACACACACACACACACACACACACACACACACACACCATGTATACATCACTTCAGGGGACATTACATTGACTTACATGCATTTCCTGGAGACTTATCCTGACCTTAACCATAACCAACACATGCCTAACCCTTACCCTTAACCTTACCCTTACCCTAACCCTAAACCTAACTGAGTCTTCACCCTAAAATTAATGATTCCCCTCATGGGGAACTCAATTTTGTCCCCATAAGGGAGGCGAGTACCCACACGTGACTGTGTAAACAGATGTAGGTCCCCACAAGTATAGTAATGCTAGGACACACACACACACACACACACACACACACACACACACACACACACACACACTCTCACGATGAACAGTTGTCAATGTTTGTTCATCAGCCTTTGGAGATCATTTTCCATTAGCGCTCTGTCTTCATATGAAGTATGTTGAAATGTAAGTAAGCTGTCAGCAGGCTAATCATACTAAACTACACACTGACTTCTACTCTACACTTTATTGTGTGACCTCCCCTTTTCATGTTTCACAAAACTAATTGCTGCATGTTTCAGAACAATTATAGTCACAGTCAGCCAGGGGTTTCTTGGAGAGTTGCATTGGAGAAAGATTGACGAGTAGTTCAGGACTAATTAACTAATTAGAAAAATATATATATTACAGTTACAAATTAAAACAAATACATCAATATTGAGTCAACTGTAACACCTGAACACCACATGTTGAGAGTATAGAACGCTGATTAGAAATCAGGCAAAATTAAACAGTTTGGTTAAAGATAGTAGATGGATAAAATCAATATTTTAAAGTTATTGATATACATAAGCGAAGAGTGTTGGCTAAAAAGAATACGCTAAAAGTAAGGGTTAAATATTAGGTAAAGATATGACACAAGTTTACAAACAATAGGTCCAACCAATGGATCCACTAAACAAGGGAAAAGGTTAAAATAAGGTCAAATGTAGGTTAAATGAAAGAAATAGCAGCAGCACATCCGACCAAAACGATGGGAACTACTAATCCCAGCTTCTAGCTTAAAGTGTAGTATTAATGCTATAGCTTTACCGCTTCTGATACTTATATCCACCTCAACACAATTTATTTGTGGTGCGTGAAACATTCGACAAACTTGACTAGGATCAAGACTTATTGTCGAACAGTCTTTCAAATTAATTTAGATAGTTTGGCTTGTGAAATATTGTCTACAGAGGGTAAAATATCTTGAGAGGTGACACACTTTAAAAAGACATATGGTATGTCTGTTAGTCTGTAGGCAGTTTGGTCAGCTTAACCCTATAGTGTTGTTTTCACTTTTGTCATAACATTATCTTACCACTCCTCTCACTCTGTACTACGGGCTTAGGGAAATGATTAAAACTCAACAAGTGATTTACAGCACTCAGCCTTTCTCTGTCTCACCTCTCCTCGCCCCTTCTCTCCCCGTGCCCCTCACCCATGTTACTTGTTGATTCCAGTTGAAAGTGACGGCACATAAGACCTCCTAGCATGACGGTGTTGCGGGCTGCTCCAGCGGATTAGGAAAATTCCAGACTGATAGCCATCCTCATCCATCTCTCCCGTCTCTCATCCCCATCTTTCTACTCGGGATTATCTCAGAGAGAGGAATTTAGAGTGGCCTGTCTCCCCAAATAGACCAGGGGACATCTGATGGACAGCTGTGGAGGCTGATTGTGCTTTGGGGTGCCCAGCCCGGATCAGGGATTAACTGCCAGTAACTCGTGTTAGAGCCTCTGTGGTGCAGCCAATTTGGCAATGCAAAGAAAAACACGCCCAAAATGCTCTGGAAAATTCTCGTAAGCATCAGATTTTAACAGAGAGTCTACAGATATAAATTGACCTGTTTCTGTTATTTCAATTCATAATTGTTCTGGCTAATGCACTTATTGGTTAGATGCAGCCACAGCCAAAAGGATGAAGACAAGCAACATCAACGTTATAGCAATCTACCAATATCCCTGTTTATTTTATTTGCATGTATTCCTGTTTACTGATCTTCCTGCTAGACTAGACTTCCATTGCATAAACCATTAAACGAAACTTGGATAAGTGTTGACATTTTCTACAGGTAAATGGTTGTACCACACATACAATGGCCATCCATTAAGTCTGTGTACCATTCATGCACAGAAGGAAATAAAAGACTTACAAACACACATGAAAAGCTTTACAGAATGCACTATGAAAGGAACTTACCTGTGTCAGAAGCGGGAGAGAGAAAGATGCGACGGCAGCAGAGGCAGAACTCAGATAAGAGATGAAGCCAACAATTTGGTGTCCCTCTATTTAACTGCACCCCTCATTGTCGCACTCTCTCTTTCTCTTTTGTTAGTGGAGGCTATAATTAGTAAACCCCATCTCTCTTACTGTCTAATCTTGCTCTTTCCATTTGTCTCTCACAGATTCATTGTTAACCCGGGCCCAGCAGTGACAGCCTGGAGATTTGACCTTTGCACGACACAGAGTGATGAAGCCAACTCAGATCAGGAGGTAAACGTTTTAATGACAAAGATTGTCTCGAAGCGGAATTGACACTGAATAAGGTCGGGCAAAAAGCGTACACAATAAGGATTTCAATTAGAGGCTTTAGAAGAAAGTGACCCCTGTGCTATGGAATATTAGGTGTCGTTTTTGTTGTTATACAGTACTTTTAGCCACAGTAGCGGCTTTATGAATATTAACTTTGGTCTGCTGGTTCACCAAATTCGTGCTTTCTGTAATATCTCCACAGCTATTTCAAGTAGTGCCATGACATTTTGTACAGACATTCTAATCCTCATTACTTTTTCCACTGGCCCCAACATATTTTTGTTGTTTAGTAAAATGCCTTGGCATCTATTTGTGGATTGGCATTGAAGTTTGCACAGACATTCATGATTCCCAGACGATTAATAACAAAAATGTGATGATAACATGACTTTGGCTCTAGCAACATGGTTTTGAGTAAAATGCCTTTACCCCCGTAGGATGAATTCTTATAACATTTATGATCCCCTGATAATCAGATTACATTTTGACTTTGTCCAAAACTTTGGTTTATAAATAAATACCTGCAATATTAAAGACACTCCCATCAGCCTCAGCTGTTCACATTGTGTTAGGCGCTAATTAGCAAATGTTAGCACACTAACACATTAAACTAAGATGGCCAATATGGCAAATATACTGCCTGCTAAACATGAGCATGTTAACATTGTTATGTGAGCATGTTAGCACGTGCACATTAGCATTTAGCTGCTGCATTGCTGGGCCCTAGTGCAGCCTCCCAGAGCTGCTGGCATGGCTGTAGACTCTAAACCTCGAAGGACAGATCAAAATGCTAGACATGCTTGCAGGGAGGCCCTTAGCAACATTTGCCTGATGTTGACAGACTCTCTTGACAGACAAAATGAAACTTCAGTGCAACGTCTGTAACCCAAATGGAAACAAAAGGGTAGCTGCATCACGAAGGTTCAAAATACAAAAAATGGGGTCCCTGGCAGGTGAATGCAACTGAATTTCAGTTTTGTAATTTTCTGATTTTGTAACACGTGTGTTTACAAGCGTTATGCTTGTGTAGGCCTACATAGAGGTAGAACAGACCAAACTAAATGCTCATGATTTATCTAAAAGTCAAATTCACAAATTAAATCAAATTGAATGTTAAATCATAATTTGACTGATACCATCAAAAAGGCTGATAAGATTGTAACATCCACACCACAAATGAATAGAGTTTGATATTTCAATGCCATTGTGGTGGATTTATTCATTTGTTTGGGTTTTTAGTTCAAGGGCGTAGCCTATGGCCACTTTGTGATGTTTTCCTACTTCAATTGTGCTACACATGTCATGATAGCTTTCCATGTTTTAGTGTGGGGCAGTGAACAATTTCCATATTCTCATTGTTAATTGGAATTTGTTGTGCCAATACAATGTGGTCACTACCAAAAAACATAAACTGTTAGATTTGTTGCATCTATACAATAAGAGACACACAGATCAGGGTCCAACAAAGTCCAATAACCTTATAAGAAAAGAAAAAGGAAGATGCATTTCACACTGTGTTATGGTATGTAAGGTTTATACAGTATCTTGTAAAGTATGTGTCAGTGGATTGAAGGGAATACAACTTAAAGTATAACATACAAACATATTAGATACACATGACAGAAAATATCAATAAAAAAAGCAGCGGCCTGCACATGAGACACACACACAAACCCAATCAACAGTGTGTAGAATGATTTTTCTCATGGCAGGATAAAGACAGACCTCTAGTGGTTTAACACTCACACAGCAGCTTCATTTGGTAGAGCCTGAAAAAAAACTGGTAAACACTTTTGAAGTTGTATTTTGGGCCTTGTTTAAGAAGTATGCACACACACACTTCCTCTTTTACAAGGACTGATCAAATTACTTTTCTTTTTGACTTAATGTCTCTCCTTTTCCGACTAATACTCATCCAACTCTAGATAGGCTCATGTTCTAGGACTTTGTTTATAAAAATTGCAGGTCAATGTCTGTGTGTTTATCAGCAGAGAAGACCAGACACCCTGGATAAAAAGTTATGATGTTTAGAGAGGGCATTCCACTGAGGAGTGTGAGCACACACTCTGAAGGACTGGACTTTAAGGACACATTGCACATAACCACTACCTCACACTCTTCCATAGATCTCCTTCACATAAAGTAACTCACACTCACACACACACAAACAGTTTAGACCAATGATCCATCACTGGGTGTATCCTTGCAGTGCTCCTGGTCCCTTTGCTGACTCATACCGTGTGGCTAGCTCTGGGGTTTTCCACAGTAATGCGAGAAGTCGCTACACAATCAAACCTTTATTCCCGACCTGCACAGAGCCCCAGCGCCACACACAACTCACAAACGCACTGCTATATGAACAATATATACTAGGCCTCGCTAATGAGAGTCTGCTGATGCTAAATGTTCTGATGGGTGTGCACATAAGACTTCTGTAGGTGACTACGTACGTATGTGTGGGTGGATGTTTGTGTGCACATGCCTCAGGCTCACTGTGCTTCTCATTAGTCCTCCATACTGTTTTGAACAAAAGGTGTCCTGACTTCAGCACACACACAAGACAGCACTGTCCCAGAGTGTGTGTTTGTGTCTGGGGATGTGTGTGTTTTTTTCCAGAGGCTTTAACAGCAAGGTTACACCACAACTGGAAACAGATGAGCTTAGCAATTAATGTTGTGGACCTAAAATAAATTGCAGCTGACTGTTTAGCTCTTAGAGACATGTAATGTTCTCGTGTAGAGAACTGAAGCATTGTTTAAAAATAGAAAGACTTCAGGATTACAGACACAAATGTATTTAATCTTTTTAAGATTGTATGGTAATACTGTACATGGCTTCAGCAAATATATAGAATACAATGTGCAATGAATATAAGCAAAATATTTGTACTTCATGTTCAACTTAAGAAATAGCATGCAGATCTGTTCAGTCTATAACAAACAGTTTCAAAGCCAGTAACTCAGCGATATGTTTCTATCGAAAGCAACAATGAAAAAATAAAGTGACTCCTTTTTCAACAACGTTGGAAAACATTGGCAAATTATGTCCAAAATGGAAGATATTTGGAAACATCAAGGCACAAGGGCAAAAAGTGTCCCAGCTACACAGTTTCTGTCTGCCATCTTTTCCTTAGGCAGGACCTCAGTCAATGAGGTTTTGTCAATGCTTACAATATATCAGATTCCTAGGCTTTGTAAGACAGCGTGAATAAGCACATTTAAGAAGACTAGAAGAGTGTCTGTGACGGCGGTTCCTGGTCCTTTAATCCACATTCACTGATGGCAGTATTGTACATCCCATCATGCCTTGCACCACAGGATCGATCAGATGGATCTGGTATCCTCGACCATTCTCAACGCGGATTGGTTCACTACCATGACGTAGAAAGGCTGGAGGAAAAGAGAAAAGTGTATTTTAATATTTAATTCTAACTTTATATATCTGACACAGGGGCAGCAGCTGATGGTGTTCTTCAAAGAGCATTTGTAGTGAGTTATGTTGCACTGTTACCACGGCGACTGAGTTAATTTGGGCCCTTGACTACTGCAGCTCTCTTAAGAAAGCATCGCTGTGGATTCCTGGACTGTGAGCTCATAGTTCAGACTTACACACTCAGTTCATGAACATTTTAGATTTCAGTCACTAGTTTCATTAAATAACGCTGTTGTCATGTCATGGCACTCCCTGTGTTCTACATGCGGAAAAGCTGGGAAAAAATGTATGGGGTGCTAACCTCTGATCGCCCCATATGTCCATTTGTTTTAGGGTTAGTTACAAAAAAACAAGAGAAGGCAGTTCATGTGTGTATGTGTGGGTGCATGTGTGTGTGTTTAAAAATACTTGGCTGCCTAGTGAGGGAGAGGCAGGCAGATGTTATTTTGGAGGCTCAGATTGCATCGTTATTATGTCCTGAAGTGAGAGTGGGTTTGTGTCCTAAGACGACTGTGGTGCAGTATGGCTGTTGACCATAGTAAGGAAAAACCGACACGTCTTCAAATCTGCAGTGGAACATATACACACTAAAGTGGTACTTGTAAATAACCTTTAGCTTAGGGCTTGAGTGCTGCTCAGCCATGTGGCACCTCATTACCCAAGAGTGGGGGTGTTTTCATTCCATTCAATCACTGCACCACCTTGTTTGTTTCTAGCTCCCCTTCAACCACAGGATGGAAAACATATTGGTGATGTCAGCGGCTGCACTGAAAGGGGACTTTTGGGGGGTTATGGTGGCAAATTGGTAAACACTGTATTTTGTGAAATGTATCTTGTTGTGTTTAGGTGATTCTTTGATTTGTTTTTTTTACTGCCAATCTCAGTGACACAACGTTGATGAACCTAAGGCAATTCAGATTTTGGAGATTGTGGTGCCCAACCCCCCCAAACAGACAATCCTTTATTATAGTGTAATGAATAGAATAACCAATTATTGGCTACGTTTGATTATGTCACCACCCGATGAAGGCTTACCGTTACCAGCTCAGAGCTCCTCATCCTCCCCAGTGCTGCCCAGGTGTGCTGTGGACAGGTGCCTGTTCCTCCCTGTCTGCACGGCCTGCAGGTTCTTATAGCGCACCAGAGCCAAAGCGATCTCCGCGTTCCACGCCGTGCCCTCCTGAGGACACCGAAAGTCTATCTCCTTCCCTGTGGCCATGACCACGGTGAAATACACCAGCCCTCGCTTGTACTCCACGCAGTCCACTGTGGCCATGCGCTCAAAGCGGAGCTCCTTGGCTCTGGAGCTCCACGCCGAGCTACGAGCATCCCCCCCTCCGCCGCCGCCTCCTCTGCAGTTGTGCAGCCGCAGCCCTTCCTCGGTGAGCACGCAGCGCTTCTTCTTCCACAGCTGGAGGAGCCCGCTGCTGCGCTTCTCCAGCAGCCCGTCTCGCATCACTTTGGCCGGGAGCGACATGGCCACACTGAGGCGAAGTCTTCAGACAGAGCCGGAACACAGTAGCCTGCTCAGGAGTGATGCGGCTCAAGATTTACCCACATACACATCCGTTACTTTGTCGGTGTCAGGTGTCCCCCGGGAAAACTTATCGGTTTTAGCTACGACATTAATATTAATAGCCAATACAGTTTCTCTTATAGTCCGCGTATAAATACAATCCAAGCCCCACTGACAGCTCTTCATGGAGGTTGGTAGGCTGGTCTGCCTGGATATGTTTGAACATGCCCGGCTCCACTGTGGACCTTCCCCGCCTCCTCGTGGTGACGGCAGGAGGAGATCCTGTGTGTGTGTGTGTGTGTGTGTGTGTGTGTGTGTGTGTGTGTGTGTGTGTGTGTGTCAAAGTCAAAGTCAGCTTTATTGTCAAGAATTCTACATGTTGTACATCCAGAAATCTCGAAATATCGTTTCCCGCAGTCCTACTGTGTGACATATATACATCAAACAAAAAACAAAAAGGGCCTAGATAAACATGGTATACATTAAACAAAACAAAGGGCCTAGATAACCGGGGTATACAGTTTAAAATGTTAATAATATAATTTAAGTGTTCAAAGTACAGTTTCAGTGCAGTAGCAGCGGAGATGGGCAGAAAAGTGAGTTAGGGGGTTATAGTCCAGGACCATTTGGGGCAGGGGAGAAAGGTCGGAGGCAGGGTGGAGAGTTCAGGGGAGAGATGTCAGAGAGGGGGAGGGAGGGGAGAGAGTTCAGCATCCTGTGTGTGTGTGTGTGTGTGTGTGTGTGTGTGTGTGTGTGTGTGTGTGTGTGTGTGTGTGTGTGTGTGTGTGTGTGTGTGTGTGTGTGTGTGTGTGTGTGTGTGTGTGTGTGTGTGTGTGTGTGTGTGTGTGTGTGTGTACATGTCCAGTTTAGGCTCAAAGAGAACTGCTGCACTCCTGTCAGTAGGCTACTTAGAAATACATGATTTGCTTCACATTTATGATACTATTTATATTTATCATTCCAAGTTCCAAATAGTGTTTATGATGAGCTGATTTATCTTGTGTCTCTCTTTTAGAGCTGGAATGTGAGTGGGAGGCTTAAGATGTCAGATGTTGTAATATGTGAGTGCGTGAGAAAGAAATGAAACTTTAGAAAGACATTTATTTGAGCAGATACAGAATGAGACAAATGGATGACAAATCAGACAATTATTAATCTTTTTTTGAAGTGTAGGCCTACTTGCAACAAACTGTTGAAAATATTCCAGTTCTGGTATATTTTGTATATGTTTTATACATTGTAAACTTTTACACATCCTAAAATAATGGTAGGTGTGTGAAACCAACCACAGCAAACTGAATGTGATTATTACATTTAAATTAATCTAGTGTAGAAACTGGTTACATTTTTCACAACAAACGTGAAAGCCCTGCTGATTCCTCTAAGGTTTCACTGCACTGTTCTCCTACAAGACAAAGCTTAATTAGGTCACCTAATAACATTTTTGTCATTCTTGACAATGACATCCTTTACGGTAACTGGGCCTCAAATATGACAAGTGAGCCTTGTGGGTGGAGTCCAGCTCAAATTCCTCTCAACTTTATACGATACTGGACTCTTCCCATGATGTGTCACTGCGATGTTATGAGAGGAATGGATACAATGAACATGTGACATTTAGTGAAACTTGAACAGAGAACGTCACCCTCAAATACTTCCACACACACACACACACACACACACACACACACACACACACACACACACACACACACACACACACACACACACACACACACACACACACACACACACACACCACGAGGGGGCAAAAGGGGGCATTGCCCCTCGGTTGTATTCTTTGCCCCCTCACCTTGAGCATCATTCATCCATCAAAAAGTACAATAAATGTCAAAATTATTAAATAATAACTTTAAATAATTATCTTCCCCAATACACGTTACTATGTTTAGATCAGATATGTGGGCAGGCAGTCAAGAAACGTGTAAAAAAGCCTCAAACCCAACAAGTTGGATTTAGATTGTCAGCTAATGAAGGCTACTTTGGAATTAGCCAGAATGTGTTATATTGCCAAATGCCGGTTCAGCCGGTTTCCATATATAATTAAACCGGTTTAAGCTCTTAAACAGGACAAGACCAGTAAAACCAGAGGCCTGTACGACGAAGCCAGTTCAACAGATCCTGATATCTTATCTGGCTCAACTACCCCTAACAAACTCCATCTGGCTAGGCGGTCCTACGATGCTGGTTATCAACCCGGTAAGGTTTCTCTGTCCGGCTACGAGTCGAGCACGTTCACATGAAAAGGGCGGGGTTAGCAATATTTGACCAATCACAAACATGGAGAAGCATACTGACAGCAGAGCGGTGTACTTCTTGAATGAAAGAATCATAAGTAACGATAAATAATGATAGTAACTATCATGTTAGACAAATCTAAGGAATTTAAACTTTAAACATCCATGACTTAAAACAATTAATCCAGGATAAAGGCCTCATAGTTGCAGCTGTAAGGTGCAGGAAGAATGGTTGGTAAAACAAAACGACCAACTGTTTGAATGCGTAAATTAACAGGTTTATGATATCACTGCCTCATTTAAGACTTGAGTGGATCTGGCTTGAATTACACTTGAGAGTTTGTTTTTGAGTATGATATATTATGATATGATTGAAATGATAAGTGCGACATGGCGGCGTCATCATGCCCTTACAGTGCTGACTGTACGCAATGCTCTGAATGGCTTTGCTCCACTTACTTATGTTGCAGAAGATATTTAAAGGGGACCTATCATGCAAAATGCACTTTTGTACGTCTTTTATACATGAATATGTGTCCCCGGTGTTCCAGGGAACTCACCAAGTGTCAGAAAACACAACCCTCTCTATTTTCCTCCATACCCAAATCTCTAAAAAAGGGGCTGCAACGGATCTGATAAAAACTGATCCAGATTTGAACACTGTCCTGACGTCAGGACAGTGGCGCTACGGCTATTGGGCCAACTCCACCAATCAGGAGGAGACAGCCACGGCCATTGCCGTTCGAAAGCGCTGGAGACGCTGTAGTACATATGCCAGGCCTGTAGATGGTGCTGTTCTCACTGAATCTGCCATTGCAAAAACAGAGCTAAAAAATGTCAAATTGAGCAAAATGAGGCATGGCTAAAATGCATGATCTGTTTGGTATTTTGAAGAAAAAAAAGTATAAATATGCCTTATATAGGTATGGTCCTACACTATATTATTCAAATATAGCATGATAGGTCCACTTTAAGTAAGCTTGCTTGCCGCAAATGTCATAATAATCAGATATTTCGGAAGATAGGCAGTGATATTCTATTAATTTACATGTCCACACGGTCACAGTTTATTGCTAGCCTTCTTTCCTGCATACGGCAGTTTAAACTGTGTTTTCTTTATCCTGTAATATAACTTGATAGCTTTAAACTCAGCACACAGAGCTCTGATTGGTCAGCAGAGTTGATCTCATATCGAGTTATTACGCACGCACGCACGCACGCACGCACGCACGCACGCACGCACGCACACACACACACACACACACACACACACACACACACACACACACAGACACACAGGTCATTCACATGTTTTTATATTTTATTTCTGCACTCAATAAAAACTCCTGCCATTAAAATCTTTCAACCTCATTTATTGTGATGTTGTTTGGAAAGCATAAAATACAGAAAAGCAGTTTTTACTCTATGATATAGAATATGAAAAAGAGATCTAGATAGCAGACGTAAAAACAGTTATAGCAGGTAGTGCAAATCATGAAAGCAGTGTTTAACAGAAAATAAATGTTTTAGTATTCAACTTTGGTTATTTATAAAGATTGACTGTTGCAGCACAATTGACTGTATTTGTTCTTTATGAGGCAGAGATGGGGTTATGTTTCCCACTGTACAATCTTATGATGCAGCTTTTCATCAAGCGTTTGTCTTTCAGGTTGGGTGGCAGAAGTCTGTTCTCTGCAGGAAGCCGGCAGTACTGCAGCTCTCTGGGAACCTGAAGATCCTGGGCTCTCTACTGAGTGTGCGACAGGGCCCCGGCTCCCTGTCCATAGCCAAATCCTTTGGGGCCAAAATGTTTGCCATAACAGGCTGCAGAAAATAAAAGGTAATTAAAAACAAATCCCCCACACGGTGGTATCAACATCATATCCTCAAATGTCTTCTTTCTTTCCTGAATGATAAAATGTTTGCAAAATTAGAGATTAAATCCATTATTTCCGCTCTGTTGGCTCTTGAGTGAAAATTCAAAAGTAAAAGCGGATATGTATAAAAAGAATACAACAACTTATTCTTCTATCCTCATGGACAGGAGAGTGTTTGAGGGTTCTTGTAAACAGACATTTTGACTCATCACAGCATGAAAAGCACAAGTGGCACTGATACCAGTGAGTGAGCCAGCATTAATGATACTAAACCTTAGCACTTGCTCACCTTAATGGAGTACAGCCATCATCACTCATTTCTTAATCCTGAAAATTGTACTGTATCGTTGTGTACTTGAGGATTTACTTATGTTTAGGGGGCCCTCTGCTGTTTTCTTGTATGTATTACAACCTATTCTCTGGCCACTTACAGTACAAAACATTGCAGTTTATTTTCTCTCATTTTAGATGGGACATTTCAGTTATGCATCTTATCATTTCCCCCTTATCTCAAGGATTTGCAATCTTGCTTTTATAATAGTCATACATCATATCCTTTCAGACAAATTCAGCCTGAATGGATCAAGATGGGTCGTCCTGCTATGCTACACAACTCTGGACCAGCATTAAAAATAGGTCTGAAAGCAAATTACTATACAGTTACTATACAGTAAAATCACTAGGCCTATCTATATATAATAGACTTCTAATGGGCCACAACTTGTAGGCCTCTTAAACAGGAATTCAATCTAAACAAGCATGTTGCATTATGTTGCAAATCCTGTTCTATTAGGTCTGGTTTATTTATATGTTGTTTAGCCAGTTTAACGGATGTGTATTGAACCTAGAGCTGCACAATATACAAGTTTTTATCCTCAACACGATGCCATTTAAAATTTAGTTAGTTGTAAAAGTGTGTCAGTAAAAAACTGCCCTTTAAAATGTAATCATCCATCAAAAATCAAAAAGATCACTATAATCTTGTTCAATATGTTTGATAAAACTATGTTGGGATTACTTTCCTACAAGCAATTTGTTGTATTTTAGCCAAATACTGAAAGCAGCAGTATAGCACAACTGAGTACTCTTTCATATCTGTTAATTATCGCAAGTAATATCCTTAACGCAATATCCAGCAATGTAGCAAAAGTCTTGTGTTAAATTAGTCAGTTTTTACCTTTGCAGTAGATTTCCCCGTCCTTATCAGCTTGTGTGGTTGACTCCAGGCTCTTATTGCACGTGGCGCAGGTGAAACATCCGGCCTTATGCCATGACTGTAAATAAATAGAAGATACATTTTAAACGTTTTTTTGCAAGAGTCCACACATGTGTTTGCATGTGTGTGTTTTCCCTTACATTCCCAGCTCCAATCACTTTCTCCGCAGCGTAGACGGCCTTGCCGCAGCGAGAACATTTGTCCGACCCCCCGAACTTCTGAGCCAGTTTAGACGGGTTTGGGTTGCTGGTTGGACGATGGGGAGCAGGTCTGACGTAGACAGAGAGAAAACTTGTTTATAAATAATAATACTGATAATAATAATAATCTTTATTTATATAGCACCTTTCATACAATAAGTGCAGTTCAAAGTGCTTCACATAGACATTTCACAGAAAATTGATATCACACACAATACAGTTACCAGTAAAAGACATAAAAACAAACTAAAAATAGCATAGAGTAGACATGTAAAAAATACATTTAGATCAAAGGTACAACGATGAAATTGTGCATCAAAATGAGGATAGTGCAAATTCAACACACAATCGGCTGACAGGTTAAAATGTATCGCAATTCATTGAGAAACTGCAGCAGAGAGCCGGAGTTTGCTTCCTAAAAGGCTAAATTGTACAAATGTGTTTTGAGTTTATTTTTTTAAACTTCCACCGAACTGGCTTCCCTGATGTCCATAGGTATTTGTTCCATAGTAAATGAACGCTGCCTCACCAAACTTCTTTTTACCGCTGTTTCTGGGAACTTCTAATAAACCAGCAGCAGAGGATCGCAGTGTTCCTGATGGTTTGTAGCTTACAAGGGAGTTAATAATATAGCTTGGACCTTGCCCATTAAGGGCCTTATATGTCAGGAGGAGGACCTTAAAATCAATCCTTAAGTAAACAGGATTGTTAGGATAAACAGGATAAAGCACCTTAAAGGGATGGAGGAAGTGTGTGTCGGTGTGTTACTCACTCCTCATGTGTAATGCCTAGAGACTCTCCCTTGTCCATACTGAGGGTCCCTGCTCCCTGGCCATAACCGTAGCCTTTTGGTCCATACTTCTTGCCGTAGCACCCTTTGCAGTAGACTTCATCCATATGAACAGCTACAGTCGTGCTGTCCAAGTTCTTCCCACACACCACTGATAAATCACACACACACACACACACACACACACACACACACACACACACACACACACACACACACACACACACACACACACACACATACACATACACATACACATACACATACACATACACATACACACACACACCACACACACACACACACACATTAAGTACATGTATGTTATCACAATGCATATTTGTCCACGTCTTGGAGCACAGTCATGTGTTTTGATAGGATTCCTAGTTTCCTTTTATGGAACGGCTCTATTGAAATAGTATGTTCTCATCTAGATTCCATCACAGGAATGTTTGCTTACAATGCAGAAACACAAATAACTCCACTCAGACCTCTATGAACCTACATATTTTTCAAGTTGAGGAAGAGAAAGACCTTTTATAACCTATTTCATTGCATTTAAAAAAAAAAAATGCTCATACCTTTTTACAGTTATGATGCATGTATATGATTTCAATATACAAAAACAAAAATCCTTTATAGCTGCAAATGTGTTGTAGCTGGTTGTTGGAAAAATAAATAGTTATTTTTAATGTTTGGCCTCTGAGAATCAAAGAGTAAGTATCTCTTTTAGGACTCACTGATCAAATGTATACAAGAGGATATCTTTTATAGAAGAGAGAAATGTTCATACTTAAGAATAAGAATTACAAGAATAATCTACATTTTAACAGTGTATTTTACTTTCTCTTTAGGTAACCATGTAGTATAGCCTTTTATTTTATGCCGTTTCACGTATTCATGCCCTTATTTTCTTTCTGATCAGCTGAGCAGTTCACATTAGGTCGGTAATACATGTGACTGTAATGACAAGTGTCAGTAGTTCAGTGGTTTCAGGTTGACTGACAGGAAGCAGCAGAGAGTTTACTCACTGCAGAGGAAGCAGGACCTGTGGAAGCTCCGTCCGTCACAGAGTACCTCTTCTGCAAAGTACACTGTCTTCTGGCAGCGGCCACACTTGTTTCCTCCTCCTAATGGCATCCTTTAATAATGCATACACAAACACAAACACATTGTTATCACAGCTATTTTATTGTTTCAGAGAGATATAGCTTACGGTGATTACAGTGGTAGAAAACAGCAAAAATCTGTAACTAAAATAACATGTATTTCCTTTCAAGGCATACATATATTCTTGGTTTGAAGGCCTGTACTACAGTGGAACTACACTTTGAATAGAAAAACAAATGTATCAATAAACTAATACATTCCTTTACTCAACCATCAAGTAAACACATTTACAAGAGTTTCTGTTGTAAGAAACCAATTTAAACTTCCAGATTTGGTTGCCTGTAATTTTGGCTTTGTAAAGCCAGCCCAGAGACTCTAATTTTACTCCTGCTAGTTTTCTGTGGCTTTGTTAAGACAAGCAACCCAGCAGTGAAGCAGAACATTCAAGAACAGTCATTTTTTCCTTGTTGGTTGTCAATAGGCTAGAGGTGATTTCCTTGGAAAACGTTAGACAGTAAGTGTAGAAATAATGTGAAATGTGAGGTTTTGAGGAGTCTTAGTTGTTGGAATGTGAAAGACCCTGGCATTCTGCCGGTTTCTACCCAATGTGTTTCCAGGCATGACCCTCCCAATCCATTCTAGTGTATCCGCATCCACATTCCTGACCGTGAAAACCCTCCCTCCTCCCGCCCCAGACTCACACCCTCTACTCCCTGCCTGTGTCCGACTCATGACTTCTGCAGATTTCTTAATCTTAAATTGTAGGTTTTTTCTACAAGTCAGGAAATATGTTAAAAAAGCAGCTTTTTCTGTTGAGTTGAGCTCTAAAAGCAGAGTATGATCTAAGGCTATTTCCATCACCCTTAGACACACCCCCTGCATTTACCTGACACACCAGACTATCTATCTTTCTTTCCTCAAAAGTAAATACAACACCCCAAAGTCAAACATAACTTCTTTGCTGCTGACACAAGAATGCTTCCTAATGTGAATACAAGCTCATTGTATGATGTTAAATCATAGCTTGGAGAAAAGTATGGGTGGAGCATTGTGTGACTGTCTGCTGCGACACTGTGGCTTTCCGTCATTGTAAGCACACAAGAAAAGGCACTGCTGTTTTCTGGGATGTAACTGGAATGGATGGTGACTTTAATCCCTGGTGATGTACGTTCATTATATATATGTACTAGTGTTACATAGAACAAATGTAGACTGTTCAATAATAAACTATAAAACCATCAGGATTCTTATTATGTTGCACCTACCATATCAAAGTTCTACCACTAAGGCAAGCTTATTAAAATAAGGCCTTTAAAAAAGTAATAAAGTATGTTTTATTTTGCTTGATCAATGAGTTTCTGGCTTTTTTATTGAACTATTTTCTTTGAAAGGCTTCCATAGTCCTAATTGAAATTAAAACTTAAAAATGTGGTCTGAAACTGACTAGCACTACCACAGAAGTCTGAACTGAGTAAGATTCAGGGAAACGATGGTGAAGCAGAAGAAGTATAGGAAATGAAACAAAGAGCAAAATCAAAGGCCTTGATTATTTATGTTCTATCAGAGAGAATACATATTAACAGCTCCACTGAAGCCAACTCACAAATCAGGTTTATTTGATGTAACGGTAATGCAGTTCGTATACTACAGTGCAGGAAGCAGGACCTGAACTTGGTTTTACTGAAAGTAATAGCAGACATTTCAGGGATATTGTTGTGTCAGGCATTGATAGAGCAACAACCGTTTAAAGCCTTCCTGCAGACTAACTAGAACATTGTTTTACAGCAATTGGGAGCAAGACGATCAATGAGGAGCAGAAAAAGAGGGAAGGAGCTTGGACATGAGAAGAGTTTTGATGAAGATGTCAGTAAGTAAACAGAAAGGTGAACAATGGGATGATTTAATCAACTTAGTCAATATTTATTTTGATTTCTACAGATAAGGGCCCGTCTAACTTATGTCACGTCATCTCAAAGGGTTAATGTGAGTGACTGGGTTGTCAGTTGTCAATCTGACCTTAAACAGAAAGGCATAGAGAAGTGAAACAAAGTGATACAGTAATAACAAGCACTCTAACTTCACTAAAGGTTATAAGAGCCATAACTCTGTTTAAAACGAAGGCTCCTTTTGCTGGTCTTTCAGAGGTAAATATCAAGTATTCACTTTGAACATAACTGTTACATTCATTCCAGGTCTCTGCTAAATGATTTAAGGCAGTCTTTTTGAAAATGATTCCAGCTACATCTAGATAATTGTGGCTCTGCAAGTTTAGACATGTGGGGACACAGACAGATTAACAGGAATGCTCAAACTAACCAGAGTGAATGAGAGGTAAGATGTGGAAACAAAGGAGGAAGTCAGAACATGAGGTCAATGTGACTTTGGTGACATATGTGTGATAGGCTGAGAATAACATCAGTAGGATTACTATTTCATTCTATATACATTTCTACACTTTGTGGCCCACACCAGAGAGCTTACATATGTTTGAATACTTTATTCGTCTTGTATTGCACATTAGTGTTCCACATTGTGTTACTGTTAAGCTGCACACATTGATACAGCTTTACAAACTCTAATGCATGATAGCTGTTCAAACAAAAGAGGCTCTTCTGACCTGACTTGCACGGAGAATACATTCAGATTATGAACGAGTGTTTTTCCCATCATGCAACCGTACAAAGAGCAGGAAATTAGATACAGTTAGAGGCAAGCAGAAAGCAGGAAGCTTAAACAGGCTGAAATATATTTACATTGCTTACCTGCAGTTGTAGGTGCTGTCAGTCAGTGATGATGGACAAGTTGATGTTTGATTCCTTGAACAGAGAAAGGCAGCACTGGGGTGTGTTCAGGAAACAGGCGATCCAGAGAAAGGTGGAGGAGTTGCACCTTTAAAAGTAGCGTAGATTTGATGTCTTTATCCCTAAAAAATACAAAGAGACTCAGACAGAGTTGTTCTTTTGTGCCTCTCCACTTTTCCACTGTTCCAGATGGGCTGAAAGGGAGGAGCTTCTGTGGTTACTGCTGCAGGCTGCAAACCTACTGCTGCGTGTTGAGCAACAGGGGAGTTTCTGACTGACTGGCCAAGTGTGAGAGAGAGAGAGAGAGAGAGAGAGAGAGAGAGAGAGAGAGAGAGAGAGAGAGAGAGAGAGAGAGAGAGAGAGAGAGAGAGAGAGGGGGCGAGAGAGTGAGAGCGAGAAAGAGAGAGACCTTCTAAAAACTAGAGGCAGAACTGACAGTGCCCCACACACACACACACACACACACACACACACACACACACACACACACACACACACACACACACACACACACACACACACACACACACACACACACACACACACACACACACACACACACACACACACACACCATTTTGGCTATCATCAGATTTACATCCAAAATCTTGCCATACTGCCTCAGCTTCAGTTTCTTTGAGACTGACTTTGCCATGTCTTGCTTATCATCACAAATTGTTTACACTATAAACACAGCGTGAACCATGCTCAACCCCCCCCCCCCAATCCCACCACCACTACTTTACATGTGATCTCTGTTATGTTACCAGCCTCAGACTTGTAGTAAGTTGTGCATGGCCTGGCAGACACTGGTGGCTCTAGTAGTCCGTTTATACACCAACATAATTTTGTTAATCCTGTTTTCATACTGCTTCATGCAAAACAAGTTGGACTTTGATGATGACGGCTTCTTTTTTAATTTGCCAGAACGTGACATATTGACAAATGCCGGTTCAACCGGTTTCAATATAATTAAACCGGTTAAAACTCATAAACAGGACAAAACTTGAAAGAACAAAAAAAGCAGCCCAACTCCAGTGTAAACAGCTCTTGATGGAATGTTCTTGTTCTACATGATAAGGTGATGAGCCTTTAACAGATAACCAGTTTAAAAAGTTGAATGGTATCAGCTGTTTTCCCTCTTACTCAGGAGGCAATCTCAAAGTAATTCCAGCCTTTGTACTTTATCACCACAACCTTAAATGACCTTTGAGAGGTCGCTGGTAAAGGTCCCTCTGATTTGCTTAATGGATGAGAAACCATTAATAGAAATGGATTGAGGAAAGCAGAGATGAGCTTGAGCTCCACAAAGTCACTCTGATGTGCCTCTGCTACCATCGTGTGGTCATTGTGGGCACTATAACCACCGGTACAAAAACAAGGCCATTGTTGTCCATTGAAAGGGACAACTTATGAATGTATGATTCCAACTTACCGTTTTTTAAATGATTAATTAATATGATGATTTGCTTCTCTTTTAATCTTTCACATTGTCAGAAAATAACTAATCGGGAAAGTTTCAAATGTTTGGCTTTTTCAAAAGCAAAGACAGTCCCAACCTTCATTTATTCTGCTATCTTGAAAATAAGTTAATATTTTACAACAAATACTCACAACTTGAAACTAAGGCCAATGATTTATGTTTACATTTATGCTTAAAACAATAACTTCCCTGACTTTATACATCAGTGTGTTCACAGGTCTTATACTGTAGATACAACTTAATATGTGACAATGATATGACAACCCAATGCTAAATCAATGTAGTAATCTTTTAAACGAGGATTTCACTATCAAAATGGTTGCCAGTGGACTGATCTATCAGTGACTTATTTCAGCACTAAGTTCATAATTTGTTACTAATACTTTAGTTTTCAAGTGATATTCTATTAATTTACATGTTCACACGGCCACAGTTTATTGCTAGCCTTCTTTCTTGCATACAGCAGTTTAAACTGTGTTTTCCTTATCCTGTAATATAACTTGATAGCTTTAAACTCAGCACACAGAGCTCTGATTGGTCAGCAGGCGGTGCGTTCACAGAGTCGATCTCATATCGAGATATGGTTCCAGGACCCCATCGGAACCGACGGCCCATTGCATTGTGTTTCCACACACACACACACACACACACATTGGCAAGTTCCACACATTTAATTGACATACTTTTAAAGTGATTGTTACAATCATTATGAATCTCATCTGTCCTTCAAGTAAGTAAGTAAACATAATTCTCCTTCAGATACGACCAAACCCGCCGTAACTGGTTGATATGCATGCACACAAGTCCTCATCAAATGTTTTGTACAAGGTGTAATGCCTCGGGAGCCTCAGATTCTCAAAACAAGTTAAAGCTGTCGGGAGAGGGGCCTCGACTATTTCCACTCTCATCTCTGTGGCCGGCACCTCCCATCCCATCCAGAACTTCATGAGGCTCTTAAGCTCAGCGGGAGATGCTGTTTTTAAGAAAAACAGTTGATCAGTTAAGACAGAATCTGCTGAAACGCTTCAATGCTGCAGTAGCTTAAAAGATTATACAGAAAACGTAATCATGCGTACCATTTTCAATGAATGTTTTCAAGTATCCAGATACTCGACATACATCCACGACATCGGATTCGTCCTCGTCCTTGACTCTGTAGCTCTCAAAGACGAAGGTTATAGACGAGGGCCAGATGATGCAATCCAAGATCATCTGGTAACACACATGCAAATTCAGCTGTATTCAAAACAAACTAGTATACATTGTTGAAGATTACAGTCTCATAGGATTTGTTTGGCTAGGTGTTTGCGGCATTGGACTTCTGTTAGCTTTGCTTTACCTGAGGTGTGACCTGTGCTTCTGATTCTCTGGGGAACAGGATTGGGATTACATCTCTTCGGTGAATGAGAAGCGACCACAGTCCTGTCTCTTTTAAGCCTTTTTGGAACTGATTGATTTGAGGCCTTGTTCGCTCGATGACCTGAAATACGGGACACATGACATATTGTATACAAAATCAGTGATCTTCTCTGATGATTTATAGTTCAATTAAGATGTTTTGCGTTTAATTTCTGAACTCACAACAATTGTAGAACTTCATAAGCAAATATGAATGTCACTAAGCCTCTGGCTTTAACTAAATCAATGCTAAATCAAATGCTAAACATGTTTTGTTAGATTCTGTTGTGGATGCAGAGGGACTTCTGACGCTCAGATTTTGTCCCTCTTTTCTTGCTAACCAGTAGTCAACTGGGTATCTGGTTGACAACATGTGATTTGAAAAAAAGGCTAAAATGTACTTCTTCTGAGACATTATCAACATTGAAAGACATCCGTCTCTGTAAATATAAATATGACTCAATAAGGATGTGGGAAACCCTCTTTGGAATACTTCTTTGGGACATGTTGTAATGACAGTGTATTTTGTGGTGAAGTTGTAGAATAAAGCAGAGTGAACATTTACAGCATGCAGGAGAAGCTTTTCAGACAACCATTTCCTGTTGGTGGCATTCGGTGCTGGCAGCTCCCACGACAGGCAGAGCTGATGGACGGCGTCAATATATTTTAACTCAGCATCTCCTTCAAGCTGTAACAAAACATGATCAAAAACATGGTTTAACAATGCAGGCTGCATAGAAATCGATTGAGCTATTAAGATGCTGAGTTCAGTATTGAGTGACAGATAAAGAGAGCATTTGAATTGGAAATATAATATATATTTTTCATGTTGACGGTTGAGTCTTTGAAGTAATGAATCTTAAAGCTTTTTAGTTAACATATTAAGTCACTATAGCTGTTTGATGTTGTACAAACTGGGTGTCAGTGGTATGGAGCCACATTCGCGTGAAAAAGAATCGCAAGCAGCACACTGTTTGTATCTTTTGGAGGAGGGATCCAAAAACACACCTGAGAGCTTCCATATTGTAACTTTAAACTCAATGCTCACCATTTTCACAGTGTCTCGAATATCAAGGTCAGGGCAGTCCCGCAGTGTCAGAGGAGTGGTCTCCAGCGATCCTCCAAAGAGGATGTGAACAATGGCTGGGCTGAGTCCGGGGAAACTCGGGCCGCCGTGCAGGAAGGTGTGGCCGATCATCCGCCCCGCCACTGCGAACATGTCGTTGTCCAGCAGTCCATCTGAAACTGAGGGGGTGAGGTGATCGGGCTCACCTTCAAATACTTTTGTGATGGCTGCACTTCCTGAAACAGTGACAAATTGAGAGCACAAGTTTAATGCCAAAAAAGTTTTGAGATACATTGAAAAATGACCTTTAAGGCTGTAAGTGTGGATTTTGTATTTGAGTTTAAGACTTCAACTCAAGACTCAAATCATCATTCTTACATACTTGTCCCTTAAATCGTCTGTTCCTTTAAAGGTGGGGTAGCTCGAGTGCGCTAGAATTTGAAAATACACAGCCGGAAAAGATCTGCCACTTCCTTATGCTGCGTTCACACCGGACGCAATGCAATGTTTGGGGGCGGCGCTATTACATGTAAAGTCAATGCAGAGACGCGGACAGACGCGAATTCGCTCCGACGGCGCGTATGAAGCGGTGGACGCGGCGCGAATCACGAGATTGAGGCGATTGAACGGTGCCGCGTTAAACGCGAGAGTTCAATTTTTTCAACTCGAGCGTTAAATTCACGTGACGCGTTCTCGCGGAAGCCAATCAGCGGTGAGGATCTCAGCCTGCCGTCACTGACGTTCAACCACACAACATCAGCCGTTAGCTGTTAGCAGTTAGCACACAGAGCTCACAGCTCCTCATATCTGTTCAGAAACTGGACAAAAGTTAAACAAGTACAAACCACAGACTGTCTGTGCCATGGCGAATACAGTCGCTGGTTTATTTATGTCTGTAGACCGTTGTTATGAGTGTGGAATGAGCATATACAACGTTAGCTTAGCCTGGTCGACCCGATCTTCATTCAGAAAACATTTTAAAAGGTTTTTCGCCTGCCGTCTTGTCTGCAGACTTGTCGAGCATTAATTCATGGTTTTTACTAACCGGTATCAGTATGTTGTTACTTCGGCATCATTTAGGAACGTGTATTACAATTTAATCACGGTAAAATATGTTCATTTTGTTGTAGTTGTAGCTCCCGAGCCAGCGCGTCTTGTTTGAAAGATGCGAGTAAACACAGCTGGCAGCCGCGGTGAAACTCGAGCGTTTAGAGCGATGCGATAGGAGCGATTAGAGCGAAGCGAATATTCGCATCGTGTCCGGTGTGAACGCAGCATTACAGAGCCCCTCCTCCAACACACACGA